CATTAATCTCTGTATATCCATTGTGCTTCCCATTGGCCATTATTATACACGCTTTTTAAAAACAAAAAATACATATATATTATATATAAACTTGGATGTGTGTGTGTATACACATACATATCTATATATGTGACAAATATGTATGTACATATATATCAAATATACAGAGCGTGCCAAAAACATGTATACACATTTTAAGAAAGGAAAACTCTATTAAAATTGTAATCATGTATACCGTTAACAAAAGATGAATACGAGTCACGTTTGACTTCTGCAATGACAAGAGGTGCTCAAAGTGGTTCCCATTAGCGTCCAGACACTTCTGATGACGGTGAACTACTGCTTGAGCAACGCTGACCAAAGTGTCCACTTGTATGCATTTTTTTGGCACTCCCGGTATATATGACAAATAACCCCTGTTTTTAGTCTTTCAGAAGGGCTGGGTTCTGGGCAACAGTAAGCTTGAGGGTTTTCTGAGCGTCCTCTCCTTCTCCGGTTGCAGTTGGTGAATTATAGAGCAAGGATCCATGACCACAGCTGGGGAGGGTAGGATGAGGGTGGACAGGAGCCAATCACAGGCCTGCAGTTCCGTGGTACCCAGGCAGGCAGACAGCACGGGGCAGGGGAGGGGGCTTTCTTCCTTGGCCCTCTTTGCATTCCAGCCACTTGGAGCTCCCTGCCACTCTGGTCTTTTTACCATCGTGGAGGAAGGTGAGCTCACCTTTAGGCATCAGTAGCTTAGGTGCCATTCTTTGTGACATTTGTTGTCACTTAGTAAGTTTGAGTTAGCACGGCCAGCCTATCTGGTGAAGCTAATGATCTCCTTTTAGGCTGTGTGCCTGCAATTTGAGTAGCTGCCGCTGGATGAATGATGGTGCTTGGCTGGGCTCGCGTTGCACAGTCAGTCAGTCAGGCTCCCTCCAGGTCCAGGGCAGGGGAAGAAAGTCTCAGAATAGCCAGAATCCAGACAACTGTGCCTCCTTGCTAAGAGAGACGATGTTCATTCACAGAGTTACATACATCATTTCTAATCGCTTGGGACAACAAATGAATATAATTCAAATGGAGAGGAAATGCAAGGACTTACATAGCACAGATATGTGTTCCTTGTATCAAATGTCAGTACGGTTTCTTACCGCTTTGCTCAGCTCTATTGTTTTTTTACACTGGGGAGAAATCTCCCCATTTTTCACTGGCGATTGGGGTTTCAAACTTCAGGCTTTTGTTTGAAAACAGTTTCTATAGGCTGTCACTCCTTCTCTTGGCCAATTGGTCATTTAGTTTAAAGCAATGTCCGAGTGTCTGGAGGCGGCTGTGGCTTCTCAGGGAGGCCATCAGTCAGCTGTACAGCTGTTTCATCTATTCAGTAACCTCTTCATGTCTCTGTCTCTCTTTTTGCCTTTTTAAAATTAAAGTTCATTAGAATTATTTCTACTATAAAAATAGTATTCGTTAGAAAAAATCCTCATTATAGAAAATAGAAGAAATTGGGAGTGGGGAATTACCCTTTATACCAAGATTTTGTCTCTGTTAACATTTTAAAGTTTCTCTTCTATCTTTTTTTTCTATACATTAGTTTGGGTTTTTTTTTTCTTTCTCGCAGTTCTGATTACTTTAAGATTCATTGTGGTAACATATGCATGCCATAAGTTTACCCTTTTAATGATTTTTAAGTGTATTCTTCATCTCTTTTTAAAGGGGAAACCAAGGCCAGCCGAGTGGCTCCGTTGGTTAAGAGCTCACTCAGGAGTGCGAGCTCTGAGCAACAGCGGTTCGATTCCCGGCCCAAGCTGAGTTGCCGCTGAGCTGCCAACAAGTAGCAGGATGGCTCAGCTACAAAAAAAACCACAAAACAAAACAAACAAACAAAAATTAAATGAATGAATGAATGAATGAGTGAATGGGAAACCAATCTCCTCCAGGCAGCAGCCTTTTCTTCTTAGGCCTCTTCAACTAGATTTTCTTTCTGCATAGAAACTGAAAAGCCAGAAGTGCCCATTGTTAATCAGCACATGTCTGTACTGCTGGCAGCTGAATTTCTTTCCAAATGAGAATGGAAGCTCAGAGTTGCTATATCGTTTTTTGCTTTTTATAAAGTTCTGCAAATTGCTATTGACTGAGCGATTTCACATCCTCCTTTCCTTTACCCTTTCTTGTCGAAGACTTTGAAACCCCTTTAGACAAAATGGCAAACTTTGGCACACAGGGTCATAATGATTTTCATATCTTTTCTAACAGCATTTGTAATCTTTAAGAAGGATGAGGGAGACAATATTGAACCCAGGCAATTAAAGCTCCAACAGTGATATTTCAAGGCCTCTGCCACAGAGTGGGGTGTGGTTTTGGTCAGGGGCCCATCTGAGGATTCTTTAAGGATTAATCCATAATTTGGATTATTTGCTATTTATTTAGGAAGTGTGTATACATAATATATATATATATATTATGTATACACACATATAATATATAATATATACATATAATATATAAATATATATAATATATATTTATATATTTATTATTTATTTTCCTTTTCCTTCTGTTCCAGGGCTACCACCACCCAGTGCAGGGACCGAGCAGCACTCGTCGGCCTCCATCTTTGAGCATGTGGACAGGATCTCGCGCTCCTCGGAGGCCAGTCGGCGGGTCCCCAGTAAGATCCAGCTGATCGCCATGCAGCCCATCCCAGCACCTCCTGTTCACCACCCCGTACTGGCTGACCGAGTGGCAGAAACCAACAAAATTAACAAAGAGGTATTTGTTTTTATTAAAAAGTACATTAATAATAAGAATAAAAACTCACCTGCTGATTTGGTCAGTGCATAAAAATGAGTGAAAGTTAGTGTCAAAAGGTTGCTAACGGAATGAGCTGACGACAAGTATTTTTCATTCTAAATATGCACTCAGTGTTTTTTTAAGATCAGATACTGTTCAGAGGTGCACTGGCAGATGTAAAGCGAGACCTGAGACTTCTGTCCTTAGAAAGTCTCGCCCTGGCCGATGTCTGGTGTTTAGGAACTTGAATTTCAGAAAGATTCCCACCATTTTCATAACAGAGTGGCTCACCGTGCCTTAACTGTGCAAACGATATGATTTATACCGAATATCTGCTTTCCTTCTTGGAGTCTGGAATTGCCTATATAACCAGCCCCCAATAAAAACCCAGGGTGTTGAGTCTCTGATGAGCATCTCTGGTAGACAGCATTTCCCATGTGTTGTCACAACTCATTGCTGGAGGAATTAAGCACATCCTGTGTGGCCCCACGAGGAGAGGATTCTTGAAAGCTTGTGCCTGGTTCCCTCTATGTCTCTAGACTTCTCCCCATGTTTCATTTCCCTTTGCTGATTTTGCTTTGTATCCGTTTGCTGTAATAACTGGGACTAAAGGCCGAGTCCTGTCAGCTCTCCTAGTGAATCATTGAACCTGGGGTGGTCTTGGGACTGTAGTAGACTATGTGACCCCTGATAGATCTGCTCTAACTCCAAGGATCTAGGTAAGTCTCAATAAAACCCAATCCAATGAATCCTGGAAGAGTGAGTTGGCTCTGCTTCCCTCCTGAGATGTTGGGAACCAGAAGACCAGCCAGGTCACTGTTGACTTAAACTTGAGAGCTTTGACCTGGGTGGACACTGAGTGAAGTGAGTACCATTTAGGACGGCACATAAGGCAGCTTCATGCCTGTTCCCCACCTCTAGAAAACACCGGCTGCTGTTGTGAGTTCTGCCAGGTTGGAGTAATAAGATTGGTAGAGTGGATTCCCCATCCCCCCTTGAAAGGGGATCCTTAAAGTGGCTCATCTTATAGACGTCTTATCAAGAGTTCTTAGAGTTTCCCCTGTCCACACCTCATTGGCTCCTTGCCAAGCACGTGACCACAGGAATGTGTACCATGGGTTCAGGATGGTGAGTGTTGCCGCTTTCAGCAACGTGCAGAAGCCTGAGTCCTGCATGGCCCATCCTGGCCTGGTCCTGTGTGCTCTGCAGCTGCCACATGTAAACACTCTGCAGTGGGCTCTCCATCTGGAGAAAGAAAGAGAAGCATGCGTTCTCCAGGCCTCACCACCTGATAGTCTTCATCTCCATTTTTTTCTTCTATTTTATACTTCTTTTTTTTTTTATTGGGGAATTTGGGGGATGGGAACAGTGCTGGGGAATTGGGGGAAGGGGAACAGACAAGTTGCTGTCCTTTTGTTCTTCAGTCTAGTTGTGGAGGACGTTGCTTCACTGGCCCAAGTTGGCACCATCACTGCGCTCTTCCCGGGTGAGGCAGATCAGTCGCTGGCTTCTGGACAGCCGCTCAGTGTGGCTGCTGGCCGCTCACGCTGGCTGCTGGCTACATACACGGTAGCCCATGGCAACCCACTGCAGCAGGGGCTGCAGCCTACGCCATGGCCGGCGACTCACGTCAGCCCAGCTCCAAGTTGAGCTGTTGTTCAGCATCTTAGCTGTGGAGGGCAGTGTCACTGGCCCTCATATGTGGGATCCGAACCAGGGCCCTCTGGCATCCCAAGCCAGTTCTTAACCATCGCGCCACTCGGCCAGCCCATTTTCTTCTATTTTAAATGTAGTAGTGGATGCATACCTATGACTAGGTAACATATAGATGATAGAGCACAATGGTAAGTGAGAACCAAACTTAAGAACTAGAGCATTGTCAATACTGTTGTCCCTACCCATTCGCTTCACACAGCTCAATTGAAATGTTTTCTAAGTAGGAGGTTCTGGTCCACCTTCCTAGCATATCTTGGTCTTCCTGTGAGGACCTCATATTTTAATGAACAATGAGGTCCTGATAGAGTAAGAGGGGCTTTCTCAATTCTCCTGCTGGTCAGCTGCCGAGAACCTCATGCAACGGACTATCCTTCTCTAAAACAGTCTCAAAGAGGATGTGGCTTTGGGCCCCCTGTGGTGTAGCTGGGAATGCTTATCTCATCTTGGCCCACGGTCTTGCTCTTGCCTCCCAGTCAGATTCCCAGCTCGGTTCCTCTTCGTCTTCTCTGTCCCCATCTTGCTAAATGCTTACAGGACCATGGGAATGTGCCTGATGAAAGCCAGTGCCCCTCAGTCTACACTGCACCACAGCACAGCAGAGCCACCCCTCCTCTGTCACCTGTCACGTGCATGGCAAACATTCATTGGCGTTCCTGGCTCTGGCCCTGGGCTTGGTGGCACCTCACACCCTCTTCCCACACCCTTCTACTCTTCAGATCCTACCTGCTCATGAAGACCTGGCTCAGGCCCCACCGAGCTGGTGATGACAGGTGTCCAGACATGTGGACCCCCTCTCTGGGAAGGGGGCGGGTCTCATGGCGGGGACCTTGGTTAGGGGACACTAGATAATGATCAGTAAGTGGATATTCTGTTATATAATGTAAATATCATCTTCGAATCTGTCTTAATTTAAAATTCTCTGAAGTAGTAATTATTGGGTTTAAAAGTCTCTAAAGGAGTCATTGTTGGGTATGGAAAACATTTTTTCTCATAGTATGTCTAGTCAGTGTCACTCAGTATCTTCAAAGTTGTCACTTATGTTCCAGGTTTGAGTTATCTTTGTTGGGCTTTAGGGGTTGAAGCCCTGACTTTGCCCTCATGCACAGTGGGCGAGTTTGGGGTGACAGCCCGTGGGAAACGGCAGGTCCTCTGCGCCCCGCGTGGGTATACCTGCCTGTGTCACATCCTTTGGGGCCTCGTGGGAGCCTAGGACTGCCGTCCAGGGGGCAAGGGACGTGGCAGGAAGCCCTTCCCAAGGTGCTTTGTGAGCCTGGGTCCCAGAAACCTTCGAGCACTTTCCATGGGTCTGATTCCTGCCATCTCGCCCACTCAGATTCAGACGGCGCTGCGGCACAAGTCGGAGATCGAGCACCATCGGAACAAGATCCGGCTCCGCGCCAAGCGCCGCGGCCACTACGAGTTCCCGGTGGTGGATGACTTGTCATCGGGCGACACGCGGGAGCGACACCGGGTCTACCGCAGGGCACAGATGCAGATCGACAAGATCCTGGACCCCACGGCCAGCGTGCCCTCGGTGTTCATAGAGCCCAGGAAGAGGTGGGGGTCCCAGGGCAGAGCCAGCCGGACTCTGCTGTCAGGGCTGGGATAAGAGGGCCTGGCCGTTTTTAAGGGAAAAGTCTCTGAAAATGGCTCAAAGAGGTTCATGAACAGAAAGGCTGTGTAGACTACCGGGCGGCTTTGATCCTGCTTGGGTGGCCACCTGTGTGTAGACGGGCTGCTTTCCTTGTCCTGCCTGTCCTAACAGTTGCCTCAGAGCATTTCTTGGGGTTTTACTCTGTTTCTTCCAGCTCAGCGTTCTGAAATGGCGGTCATACCCTTTCCTCCCCAGGCCCACCTCTCCCTAGCTTCCTGGGCCCTCCGTTTCTTCTCAGCCCACTCATCCCCAGTATATTCACCTCTCTCTATATATTTACTGCTTGGTCACCCAGGTGGATCTCTCGTGTCTTGTGCCACAGCCACACCCAGCCTTGGTCTCCCAGACTTTTGCCCCCTAATGTAGAGGCATGTTCTTAAACACTGCAGTCACTTCTGTCTTTCTCTGCTCAAAACCTGTAATGGTTCCATGTGGAGCCTGTGCTCCTGTAACAGGTGAGGCCTGCCCCTCCGTGCCAGCTGCTGCCCACCACACGGCGGCATAGGTAGGCCTGCCATTCCGTGGGCCGGTGGCCTCCCTGCCTCCGACCCTTCACCGGCATTTCCATTTTTGGCCCTCGGTGCGGTCGTGCCTACCCTGTCACACCCTCTTCCCACACCCCTCCTGGCCTGCAGACCCTACTTGCCCTTTAAGACCCAGCTCAGTTCGCCATGTAGCCAGCGATGTGTCGATAGCTCACATTGACCTCGCCCTTTTCCACGTCTGTATAACTAACTAATGTCATGAGGATATATATTGCCTCGTGTTGTTCTCTGTTCCTTGTGTGTTACTGTAGTCGGGCCAGGGAGACTGCGCTTTCTTGGAGCAGAGACTGTGTCGTATTTGTTTTATCCTGTGGGGTGTTTGCTACAGGGGCCAGCATGGCTAGGTGCTCAGACAATCCTTAGTGTTTAGCTGGTATACCAGCGGCAGGGGAGGCCTGTTTCCTGTGAAGATAACCTCTTTTTTTCCTGGCAGCTCGCGGATAAAGCGTTCTCCTAAGCCACGCCGGAAACACCAGGTCAATGGCTGCCCCGGAGATGCTGAGAAGGACAGGCTCATCACCACAGACAGTGACGGCACTTACAAGAGGCCCCCCGGTGTCCACAACTCGGCCTACATCGGATGTCCCGTGCGTAATGCTGCCCCTTCCTTCTGGAGTCGGTGTTGGGGTGGCTCTTCGGGAGAGGAGACTAAGCAGGGGTGGCTGCTGCCCTGTCTGAAGCCCAGTGGCTGGTGCTCCAAGGCCGTGTGGGGCGTGAGGTGTGTGGGGTGGAGGCCGGAATGGGCCGCGCCTATGAGGGGAGCTGTAAGTCGTACAAACCAGGGTGCTGCTGGGTGAGTGCCCTGAAAACACTGTGTTCCCTTTCTATATGCAGGCCTTCTCCTCTCGGGCTTGAAAGGGCGCTTCTTGAGGTTAATTGGAACACATAGAAAAACACCCAGAAGGTTCCCCCCGCTCCCCGTCAGAGTTGTTTGGGTTTCTTGGTGATAAGAGGGATATTGAGGGTTTTGTCCCTCCCTTCTGGTTTTGGAATGCTACAAGATACTGTATTTGCTAATAATATATATATACATTTGATTGTAATGGGAGAAAAGCACTTACTGGAAGTTAAATATGGAATGAAACAATTCTTTTAACAGAAAGGGCACAGACAGAGGTGTTTTAAGTGTAAAAGGCAGACATTGACAGCATTAAGACACACACACACAGACCCTATTGAGTAGGGGAGAAAGAGCCAGTCTCCCCCAGGGGCCCTGAGAAATACAGACACAAAGACATCCCAAGATAGGGTGAGCACCAGCTGCACCAACTCCTGCAGCCCCAGGACACACTGTGGGTGCCTATAGCCTTGCGTCAGGGTGCAGCCCTCCCTCCTGGAGGCACACGTACACAGCCATCCTTGTTTCGAGAGAAATTAGCAAAACCGCATCCTTGGAAAAGGGGTTTGTGAAGGACATGATCCATTTAGAGCGAGCTGATGCAGCCAGCTGCTTCTTATTTGAGTTTTGTATTTTGTCTCCTAAATTATACTCCTTACGAACACTGACAGATGCCAAACATAATTATACAAATGTGACAAACCCCATGCTGACATTGGGGCTAAATATTGAATCATGATTACCTGAAAGAACCAGGCTTTTCCTTGGGAGTTTACTGTAGGTCGTGCCCCCACCCCCACCCCTTACCTGCTTGTGAGGACTGGAGAGGTTCCAGGGAGTTGGCAGGTCAAATCAGATGGCTTTGCTCCTCAGTAGGTTGAATCCAGTAGTTTCTGAAGGCTGTGAAGGCATTCCTAAGGTAGGGGAACCATCGCTGGCTGTTCTCACAGCAGATGGTGCTCTTGGGCTGCTGTGTTTTTGGACAGGTGGTTGGTTGTCTGGGTCTCTGCGGTGTTTGCTTTGTCCTTGGAGAGGGCTGTCCCTTTGGCTCCTCAGGAGAGTCACACGGGGACTCTGAGATTCTGTTGTGTGACACTAACAAATAGGCTCCACTTCCTTGACCAGCAGGTCTCATTCTCTCAAAGGAATCTGCAGGGGAGCCTTTTCAGTCCTTGTCCCTTCTTTTTCGTTGGATGACGGATGCGTTCCAAGGCCACTGAATTTTGTGTAGGGAGTAACCTGTATTCCATCTTGCTCTCTCGGGCTTGCCTTCATCCATGACCTTAAATCAGGCCTCTCTCCTGGTGGTCTGGACCATCATTTTTCTCCTTGCCTTTTTTTTTTCCCCCCCTTTAGCAGAAACCCAGAGTTGACTCCTTCAGCTGGTGGAAAGAAACCCTTCCCCACAGAACACCACCTCAGCCAGCTGCTTTGCCTCTAATCGCTTTGTTTTTCGGAGTCCCTAAAATGAAACTCTTCCTCCGATGGTCTTACTTTTTGCTTTCCCTAAAGATCCTGAAACACATGCTTTCAAAGATAGTGCCTTTCTCGGAACTTAACCTTTTCTTGGGTAGTATTTCATCTTCAAGATGATACTAGACAAACGTGTTTTTGAATTATCTTGATTTTTACACTTTTCCCCTTGAAATATGGTCTCTTTGAGAGCTCGTTTCTTCTAAAGTGGGAAAAAAAATATGCCTGGATTCCTTGTAACTAAGGCTACCATTGTAACTCAGGCCTGTGCCAAACTACGGCCCTCGGGCCAGATCCAGCCACCTGCCTGTTTTTGTAAATAAAGTTTTATTGGATTCCATTCATGCCCATTTATTGGCATGTTATCTGTGGCCGCCCTTGCTACAATGGGCAGAGTTGAGTAGTTGTAGGAGAGACTGTGTGACTCACAGAGCCTAAAATATTTACTGTCTCACCTTTTACAAAAAAAGTTTGTCTATCCCTGATATAATTTATCATCCTAACCATACACTTATGAGAGTGAAAGGAAACACGGTTAATTATTATATTGGAGCAACAGCCATAAAGTGAGATTGTCCTGGACCAACCAGGGTGTATAATCCCTCTCTTATACCCGCAAAGCATTGCAGACTAGGCACCAGGATACACCACCTCTGATGACTGAAGGTTAAAAGGTTCCTGTGTATTTCTGAAGAATGACAGATGAGCATGTGTTGTGCAAAGGAAACAATATAATAGAATTATCATTCTGTGACTCAGGAGAGTGGAATTCAAATTCCAGCTCAGGGACCCTGGCTACATATGCAGTTTTGTAGATGACTGCGTTTCATTGTTTATTAAGTACCATCTCCATGGGAGTGTCTGTGCTAGATGTTGGGATACAGAAAAATGAAGACCTCTTCTTGGCCTGCGAGTTCTGCTGGCCTTGAAATGAGGCAACAAGAAAGAGCAGGAGGCTCTCGTGTCAGGGCTCTGGAGCTTTGACCTTCTTGGCAGGACTTAGGGGGCCAGTGGATTCCAAGGGAACCTTCCTGTCCACCTTCAGAGCATCTCTCTCTTGCTGTAAAAGTTCAAGCTGCTCTCAACTTATGACCATGAAGGGTGAGATTGGCAGTGGCTCTAGCCCTGGACCCTCCTCAAGGGTGTCTAAGATGTCCCCGCAGTGGCATCTCCATTTGGGCTTTGCATGTGGCCCTACCACTCTCATCCTTGCCCTGCAGATACCTGGTCAGCTCCTGGAACCGCCACCAGGCACGTTGCTTCTGTCTTTGGAGAGACCCTTTGACCAGTAGGATATGTTCTCAGACATGCTTTTCTGTGTCTCCACCATGAACTGTTAGGTTGGTGGCACACTTACCATCCATACAGGCTTCCCTAGCTGCTCTTCAAGAAAACCAAGAATGGGGCAAGAGCATGCATGGGGACCTTTTATCCACCCCATAAAGAAAGGGGTGCAGAGCCTTTCCAATGCTACGTCATAACCAGAGACCCCCTTTGGGGCCCAGAAGCCTCACTTAGAATCCCTAGATCACTTAGTGGAACGTTTACTGGGATATTACAATATTGAAGAAACAGACTGACAGGACCAGGGTGTAATGTACACGGGAGTGAGACCACCCACTCACTGAGGGGAAGGGGAGGGCACCTGACCTGTCTCAGGAGGGCGGCCGCCGCTCAGCAGCAGTTGTTCCTTTCGGGGAGTGAGGGTCTGGGAATGCTGGAGCCTCAGGTTCTGCCACGAGAATCCAGAAATCTGAGTTTTTGTTTTGTTTTGTTTGTTTAGCTGAGCCATCCTGCCACCTGTTGGCAGCTCAGCTGCAGCTCAGCTCGGGCCGGGCATCGAACCGCTGTTGCTCAGAGCTCAAACTCTTGAGCGAGTGCTTAACCAACTGAGCCACTCAGCCGGTCCTCAGAAATATGAGTTTTAATACGAAATTTTCAGATTTTTAAATAGTGGCTAAGTATTTATTTATTTATTGATTGATTGATTAATTGATTGACAGTGAGGGCCAAGCAAAACAGGTCGGTGGGCTGTTGGTGGGTTTGCCAGCTGTTTGTGGTTTTCTCTCTGGCATTAAGCAGCTGCTGCCCAGAAGTGTTTGGGGCTGACATGAATAGTACCTGATCACCTATTGGACAGACTATTATCATTAGGAAGCATTTTCCAGACAGTTGGCTAAGTGTAAGGATGTGCCTACTGAACAGTTTTTCTTTGTGAAAGACTCACTGATCCAGACAGATACGGGAATGTCTTCCTTGGACCCTTCAGTGGGGTGATCCAACCAGCAGAGCGAGCAAAGTATTTCTGGATAAAAGGCATCCACCCTTCTTCATGGAGGGCACGGGCTCACTTGTGCAGAACCTCTTCCGTGCGTCAGCTGCCGTCACTGTGATGTTTGGGCTTCTGGAGCCATGGAGACCTGAAAGCCCTCTTCTTCCGTCGGTTCCCTGCTTTGTCCTGTACAGCTTACCTAGTGTATATGATGGCAATGTGTGCTCATAAGGCAGTATCAGGAAATAAGGGTTTAAAAAAAAAATCTTAACTGTTCCTTATTCTCCTGCCTCATAGACAGTGGGTATAGAATATAATTTAAACCTTTCTTGAGGACTCACGTTATCTAGAGATACCTCCATTTGAAAGCTAGTTTCGGAATAAATACTTGTCACTATGGTAAATAGTTGTCATAATAGGTGTTAAAATTATTTATACACACACAGTTGTAATATGGTGAGGAGTTGGAACTCTTGGGGTTTGTCTAGGGTTCTTTTTTCCCATTGTTAATAGTCCGTAGTAGATTGCTTTAGTTTTTGGTTTCTGTATCTATGGAAAGTTGAGGTGTTTTAGTATATGGACTCTGAGATATCACTTTTGGTTTGTTAGGGGCTTTCAATTAAAAAAAAAACCAAAACAAAACTTCTGGGCACTGAAATGCATTTCAGGTAGTTAATTGAGTTTTGTCAGACAAAGGATTGTTGAATGTTTTCACTTTTTTCCTGATTCAAACGTTTTGCCCCCATGGGATGAAATGCACATTTCTTAGCTGTCATTTTTAAAAAATTCTTACGGTAAACCTTTTCCTCAATGTCAGTGAAAATTGTTAAATTCCATTTGGCCCTAGATAGAATTTTGTTTTCAGGTCGCTTTCAATGCTTCTGTCTGATTGTTCTCTGCTTGGCCGTTTTCCCCACTGTAGTCCGACCCCGACCTCCCGGCTGATGTGCAGACGCCGTCTTCTGCGGAGCTGGGGAGGTACCCAGGCCTGCCCTTCCCGACCCCGCAGTACATCCCGCCCCAGCCATCCATTGAGGAGGCGCGCCAGACCATGCACTCGCTCCTGGATGATGCTTTTGCCCTTGTGGCCCCCAGCAGCCAGCCTGTCAACACTGCGGCTGCAGGCCCGGGGGTCCCAGCGGGCCTGCCTGTGAACAGCACCCCTTCCCGAGAAGAGAGACGAGCCACCCAGTGGGGGTCCTTCTACAGCCCAGCTCAGACGGCGGCGAACAACCCATGCAGCGTAAGTACAGGCCTTCTAGTATTCTCTAGTCTGGAGCTTGGTAGATTCTTCTCCTCGAATCCTTCTGCGTTATGCTAGCTGGAGCCACCATCATCTCTCATCAAGATTATTGCAAGAACTTCCTCGTTGTCGCCCTGCCTCTGGTCTTGAGGGTAGGATGCCAGGGGTGTGGCTGACCAGTAAACGCTGTTTATTGGTGTTGAGCAGGCTGAGGAGATGAGAGACCTACACAAAATGGATCCTTTGGGTGACAGGAGGGCTTGGAATGAAGAGGGAGACCTACGAGGAGCTTCTTAACTTAGCCTTGAGTTCTCACTTGCTGACCTAAACTTGTTTCCTGATGGTCTGGCCATGTTACCTCTCCTGCTCCCAATGCTCCTTGGATTGTTCTGTGAAGAAGTCCGTGGCTGTCTTTATAGGGGATGCATGGCCCCGATCTGCTAGGAAGCCTAAATAGTTCCTGACACTTTGAAAAATACGTTTTCATTTTTCCTCCTGAATAACCAGTGCTCATTTATTCTTCAGATTCAGTTCTTTCATTCACTTCAGGGAAACTTAATTTCAGAAATAATTGTCTTACTCTAATCAATTTATTGGAGTCAGAGATAGCAATTATCATTATGTTGGCTCCTCTTTGTTTTATGTATCTACCATTTTATCTCTTAATGACTTTAGATTCTTTGTCCTTTTTCTCTGCCTTCATTATGATGGTCCTGGGCCTTTTCTCAGTGACATTAATTTGATATTAAGCAATATCTATATTTTTTTCTTTGCTAGTTGATTTCTTGGAGTCATAATGGCATTATTTTGTTCCTCAAATTATTTCCACAGTCTGTGGTCTCCCGTTTCAGTTCATTCTGTTGTCTTAGCATCTCATCATTGAACTTAAAGAAAAAATTGCCATTCGTAAGTTCTTTTATAGTTCAAGATATTGGGTTGTCGAAAAAGTCATGACGCATTTTTGCAACAAAATACATAGAAAAAAATACATCATGACTTCTCCAACAACCTAATACTTGTAGAGAATCTGACTGGTACTTGTATTTTCTTCCAAACTGGGTTCTTTGTCTTTTACATATGTTCATTTTTTGAAACGTGTATTTGTTTGTTTGTTGCTGTAGTATGTTTGCAGAGTGGCCATGATGATTTTTTTTTTTTTTGTCTTGTTTGTGGTTAAGGCAGGCCTCTCCTACTTTTACTTTGATTTACTAGAATGTGGGTAAATTCACCTTTGTATTCTTCTTTCCTTATCTGGGACCTGTTTTGCTCTTAAGGATGACTTTCAGTCCATGTTTCTGTAGCTGGACATCATGGCAGAAGAGGAAGGGCAGGGCCCAGTGGGGCCAGGTTCAGTCCTCCGTGGGGCTTATACTCTGAGGCCTCTTTAGTGACCTTGTTGCATCTTTCATGCTCTTACCCAGCACCCACCCACCCAGCCGGTGGATACTGCACTCCTGTGAGTTTGTGCTCCTTCAGACTCAAACTCATGACTTGAAAGATGGGGCAAGACTTGGTGGCCCTTCCTGCTGTGCCTTACGTCCTATGGTACTGCTTAGGGGCTCCTACTTTATGTACTTTTCCTTCCTTCCTCTCCTTCCCTTTCCAGTACAGCCTGTTTAGTCAGCTTCTCTCTACACAGGAAGGTAACTCTGCATATTCTGGGTATGGGGCTAAGAGCCACATCGTGATGCCAGAATTGTTTGTTTTTTCCTTGGTGACCACTTTTCTCAGGAGCATAATTCTGCTGTTTTCTTTACTGATTTGGTTTTTGCTGATGAATTTTAGCAGGAATTTTTTGACAGATCTGTGTTATTTGCTTGTTGTTCAAAGGTGTTGGAGCTGCATGACTCTGCGATAATGCCTTAATCTACCATCTCAACTAAATTTAAATCCACAGCAAGATTTTTATAAATGCTGTTATTGAGTGGTTTTCTCATTGTGGACTTTTGATGTTACCCTTATGTATTTTGATGAGAATGACAGCAACTTAATCTGGCAGAAAATGAGAATCGTTGGTTGTGTCTGTGACTACCTAGTATAATTTTGACATGTTTATAAACTGGTCTTAAAGATTCTGTTGCCAGGAGGAACCTGATAACCTTTTGTTTCTTCTGACTACACTGAAAAAACCACAGAAATGTGGGTTCCAAGGTGCCTTCAGTTAACCCCATGAACCTGTATTTACCATCTGATGACATTTCTGCTCCTTTCTGCCAGCATAAGGGTGTTAGTTTTGCATTGGTGAGTCAGACCACTTGACAGGTGGCATTTTCTTTCCTGAGCAAAGTGAACCACCCTGGACTAGCCCTCCGAGTAGTAGGTATGGATACCTGAGCTAAGTGAGACATTTACAAGCAGGCCCATTCCAGACTTCACCCACCGACTATCTTTCTTGTGCTGGTCCCATGTCTTATACCGAATAGAATGAAGGAATGCATTAAAATGGGACTTGTATAGACATAGCTGATCGAAACCCTAAAATTCTATTTTGTCCCCCAAACTTTTATACAAGTATGACCCATTTAGAGTAAATGCCTGCCATTCTGTCTCCGACTTTAAACAAACAAACAAAAAACCTTTTCATTGAAGCATACAGTCTCTAGGAAAATAACACCCCTTTTCTGACTACAATAGAGTTCAAATGCCTGGCACAATAATAAAACAGCTGTTTTTCACTTTTTTTTTTAGTTTCTCTCTTATTAGATCTCCTGATAGGCCTTGATCTTTTTTGTTTTATTTTGCATGTGAATATGTTTTAAAAAATCCAAACTGTGCTGAAAGCACAAAGGCCACTGTGAATAATTTCCAAGTCTCAATTTCCCTTTAATTATTTGGAAAAAGAATTGGAGCTCTTTTTTTCTTGTATTCCTCCCTTCTTCTATACCCCTCTTTGGCCTGTTGTACCTCAGTTGGGGAACTCAACAACTTAGGGAACTCTCTCCCTCTGCCAAGGGGGTGGAAACAGAGAGGGTCAGAAGGTGCAGTGATTGGAGCACAGTTTCGTATTTAATATCCCCTTCAGAACTCAAGGTGTAGAGATCATTCTATCCTTCTTGGCGTAAGGAAATCGGCCCAGGGAAGTTGAGTAGGTTGGCCAGTCTGTCCGACTCTAGAGCATCTATGTTTTCAACACAATAGAAGTGCAGTTATAGTGGGGAGATAGTCTGTTTTGGGGAACCATGGGCAGTGTAGTGCAGTGGTTAAAAGCGTTGTCTTTGGAGTCTAAGACCAGTTAGGAGGACATTACTTAACTTGACCAGTTGATTTCATCAAAACAGAGGTGGTGAGCATTTTTTTTTTAGTGTTACTGTGGGCCTGAGTTAGTGCTCAGACAGTGCTTACCAAAAATACTAATTCAGTAAATGGAGGTTAAAGAAAAATAAAGATCTAATATTAGAGCAAATCCGGAAGCCAGGCTGACTTTGTAACTTCACTTGGAGTTTGTTTTTTTTTTCTGCCTCTGAACAGCCGGTTGGTTCAAACTGGAGTTGGCTGGACTCAATCCAGAGGTACTGTTCTGCTAAAATAATTGATTCCAAAACAATGATTCATAGTTGTTGAAATGTCGAAATAGGTGTCCCATGTACGGTAGGGTTAGGATATGTTGATTTGTTGATTTCGTGAGGAATGCAGCATAATGCAGTTTCTTTAAATCCGGTGCCATATTATTTTAGTCAAAGAGCACTTGGTTAGCTCAGGTTAGCTCAAGTAAATGAATTGGGTGGTGAGCACACAGGATGATATATAGACGATGTACGCGTATTATAGAATTGTACACTTGAAAACCCCAATAAATTTAATTTAAGAAATTTCAATTAATAAAAGAGTTGATTGAAGGATATGGGGACACCTGTGGAACTTAAGGACAGGGAGTATGGCTGGGTCTCCTGGGAGCCAGACAACTGCCAGAAACTGAAGTTTCTCACTTCATCTTCAAGAGTCTAATTTCTGGTTCTTTATATCTTTTTCTTTATACAACATGGTACAGCACTTGTGTAGTTTAGTTTCTTGAGTGTATTTGAATAGCTACTGGGCACCCATTAGACCTGGTGACTATTGTGGCCAATATTGATAGTCATTTGTAATAAACGTGGCCACTTGGGCCTGTTTTTTTAAGCAAAAGATACAGGTTTATAGCAAATGAACCTGTAGGGAAGAGCAGGCACAGAAATCTGATTATTCATATTTTTACAAAAGAAAGAGAGGTCTAGAAATTAGTTTTGTGTTTTTTAAAGTCTGGTAGCCCAGTTCCCCAAACTGAAACTTCTGGCATTACTTGATGGCAGAATGCCCCAATAGCATGCTAACTTTTTATGAGAAAATAATTCTCTTGAAAGTTGATCCTGTAAACCTAAATTTATAAGTTTGCTGTTGTCACTTTCTAATAAGTATTGAATATTAATCTTTATCTTCTTTTGAATTTCTTCCAGAGATATGAAGACTATGGAATGACTCCCCCATCAGGCCCATTGCCAAGGTAAAGTTTTCAGGAGAAAATGTGTTAGATCTTCCTCATGTAGGCCGTTTTTCTTTTTTAATTTTGTAAACTCATTTCTTTTAGCTAGTATGAGCAGATGCAAAACTCTGAGTTGTGTGTTCTCTTGATCTAACCAGAAGAGAAGAAAAAAAGTTGGAATTTAAGTTCTGCTTCCAGTAGTGGCAGACTAGATAATTTGCTGAGGACAACTGGAAAAGTTAGACAAGATTTTAAAATAAAAATACAAAATCCAGAGAACGAATCAGGCAGTTAAGCAGTATGGGGCCCAGATCTAGGAAATCTAGAGAGGTGAGCTCTGCCTTTGGGCCACCCTTTCCCAGGGCACCTGATGATTCCAGAGGAGATAGTTGAGAAACTGAGCAAAACTTTTGACAGACTTATGGGGCTGGGAGAACAAGGATGAGAGACCCTTGTAAACACCCAAAGGTTTTGGGTTCAGATCTTTTAGAGCTATGCCCTAGGAAGAAGGATGAATGGTAAATAAGTGGGTCCCTACAGGAGCTAAAACTCAACTTTGAATTATCTCAATTCCTGATTGGATTGAGTGATCAGGCATTGTTAGTTCTTCCAGCTGCCTGGCAGAAACAAATGTAATTCCCCTTTAGAGGAAGATAATATTACACTAGGCCTCCCATTATCATTATATAAATAGACACACACAACCAGGCATAAGAGGAGAAAAGAAAACATGACTTAAAAAAATAAAGAGAAACAGACTATATAAATGGAATTAGAAGGGATCCAGGTATTAGAGTTATTGAACAGAGTTTTAAAATAATTGTGCTTAATATGGAGTTAAGAGCCATTGTTTGGGAAGATATAAAAGTATTAATTTGTGTTAGATTGTAACACGTCAAAGAGCCTAGTGTAATGTTTAGGATAACTTCCTAAAGAATGCTAAAAAAATAATATCAAGGTAGTAGGGAGAAATAAAATAATTTGAAAATCTAAAAGAAGGTAAGAAATATGGGAGAAAAAGGAACATAACAATTGGCAGGACATATAGAAAGCAAATATAAGATGGCAGAGATCTAAATTCATATAGATGAATAATTATATTAAATATAAATTGCTAAACATTCCAATTAAAAGACCAAAGGGTTGTCAAATGGGATTTTAAAAACTACATTTGGCTTATAAGAGACAAAAAAATATACAGATGCAGAAAAGATATAGCAAATTTGAACAACATGATTAATCAACTTGACTTACTTGATGTATATAGAACACTGGAGTTGATCACTACAAAATACACATACTTTTAAAATACAAGATTTAAAACTTTTTACCATGTGCTGGGCCATAACAAATCTTAACAAATTGCAAAGAATTGAAGTCACTTAAAGTATATGGTCCAGAGCTTATGATGAGGTTAGGTGAGCTCCATTGTACAGATTTTGCCTTATTTAAGCTCTTAGATCTGTAAGGTAAAAAATATCAAGACATCTCTTTCTGAGGTCAATCTGAAACAGCAGCAGTTATTTCAAGAGAGTAATATAGATAGCCTGGGCTTCAATTTCCAAGATACACTCCAGAACTAGCACTACGCAATAAGGGCAAATCAGTTTATATTCTCATCAAACTGGTTTGATCTATTAATTACTGGTAGAGACTGCCATTTGCAAAGAACTATAATTAGACTACCATCTTTTTTAATTCTTAAATTTCTTTAGTGGTTCTCAAGTGGATTTGGAGACCCCTGGAGTGTCCTTGAGACCCTTTTAGGGGGGTCTATGAGGTCAAAACTATTTTCATAATATTAAGACATTACTTGACATTTTTTGTTATGTTGACATTTGCACTGAGGTGCAAAAGCAGAGGGTGCCTTAGCATGAATTAAGGCGGTGGCAGCAAATTGTTTGAGTAGTCATCGTATTCCCCACCATCGCAATTTCTTAAAAATTATGCCAGTTTTATGTTAGTATGTCCTTGATGATGCAGCAAAAATGATTAATTTTATTACACCTAAACCCTTGATTTTTTAATAGCCTGTGTGACAAAAGAGGAAATACATATATAATAAAGCACTTTGCTCAGTATGGAAAAATATTTGTTCAGTTGTTTGAGTTGAGAACTGAGCTGAGCTAACTGCTCACATGTTTTTTACTTGAACGAACAACTGGCAGACATCATTATTCAGACTTGGGTGGTTGACAGATACTGTTTTGAAAATGACCAAAGTGGGCCTGTCACTTCACGGAAAACAACTAACAGCATCTTGCCAATAATAAAATTAAGCCTTCAAATGAAAATTAGAGTTTTGGAAACTTTCATCTGCCACGGTGACCTTGACAGCTTCCTAGTAAGTACTTCAAGACTTTTTTGATGAGCTCAATGGTGATATTAATGAATGTGATATTTTTTAATACTGTAAAATGAAATGGATCAATACCTAGAAAGTCTGTGAAACACAGTGAACTAATATTTTCCAAATGAGCAATGTCATAAAATCATAGGTGGGTCCTTTCAAAGTACAAGATATACCAATGGATCTTAATTAATGTAACAGAGTAGGAAAAGCCCATCGATATCATTTCAGATTCCATGTTGCCACTAACCCTTAAGGAAACCTTGTTGACTTTTGGTGTGGTATGGAAGAAGAATATCAGAAATACTTGAATGTTATCTGAAAAGGCTATTAAAATATACCTCCCTTTTCCAAGTACATATTTATGGCAACTGATTGAAAACAAAGTGTATGAGAATCGAGATATATCAAGGGAATTTGAAAAAGATGTAAAACTCTTCTCACTGTTTTTTGGTGTTTTTTTTTTGGAAATATAGGTAAATTAATGAAAAACTATTAACATGTAATATGTTTAATATTGTTATTTTAAATGAATTTTAAATATAAGTATTTTTTAAATTTCTCAGTTTTAATTTCAAATATGATACATACTTATAATACGCAAAAATAAAAGCTCTTGGGAATCCCCATAATTTTTATATGAGTATAAAGGGATCCTGAGACCAAAAAGTTGGAGAAATGCTGCTTTAGAGCACTGGTTTTTAGCTTTGATGAACCTTGGGATTATCAGTGGAGCATTAAAAACTATTAATGTCTGGGCCCCACCGCTAGAGATTCTGTTTTAATTGGTCTAGGGTACAGCGTGGGCATCAGGGCTTTAAAAGCTCCCCACATGGTGCTGACGTGGAGCCAAAGTTGACAACCACCACTTTAGTCAGATGCTGGAGATGAACAGACTCTAGAACTTGACTGCATCTTCTTTTGATCTGTAAACTAGAGGGTTTCTTCTTCCATTATCCGACAGAGATTTGTCAAGCCTCAGCTGTCTTTCAGGCAGTGTTCTAGAGTGTCAGCAGTGAGCAAACGGAAAACATCCCTGTCCTCAGGGAGCTCGAGTTCCGGGAGAGGAGATGGGTAATGAGCCAGTAGACAAATAGGTCTTATTTTTCCCACAGGGCTGTGGGTGCACCTAGTCAGATACCAGAGCTGGGGTACCGTGTGGTTCTGATGCTTGCTGCGCTTTGCCTTTAGACCCGGTTTTGGCCCTGGTTTGCTGCAGCCTTCAGAGCTGGTGCCTTCTGAGCCCCAGCAGCCCCAGGCATCCACTGAAGCCTCATATGCTGCCCGAGGGATCTACTCTGAGGACTTGCCATCGGTGGCCCGGCCTCGGCCTGTCGGGGGCACCACAGGTACACGTGACTATGTAGCTTGCATTTCGGAACTAGAGGATGCTTGCTTTTTGGCTGAATTCTGACAGAGTGCATTCTAGACTTCTTAGCATCCCAGTGTTCAGCAGCCTCTTCCACTGGTAAGAGCTGCTTTCCCTCTGATCCTGGTGAGATGCAGGGAAAGTGGGATGGGAGGGAGTGGCTGAGATCTGGACACTCTTCTCCACTGATCCATCCCTGAATCAGCATCTCAAAAGCACTCCCTTCACATGGAATCCACAGCACACCTCTTCCAGGGAAAATGGTTCTAAATTCTTACAGTTAAACTGAAGTATCTATTTGTGAGCCCTTGTTATGGCATAAAAACAGATATTTGTTTTAAAGTGGGCAGTTTTCCAGCTTTCAAGAAGCAACTGTAAAAGTTGTTGGACAGTGACTGGGGGCGAGGGGAGGGGAGATTTTTGTTTTTTTTTTGGTCACTTCTGAGAGGGTACAACCACTGATTTCTCCTCAAGCCTCACCTCCCTCATTTTTTCCCTTCTACCTTGGTTAATATCATCATCTTCCCTTTTTAAATTCTCTTGTCATTTTTTTCATACCTCTATGCCTGAGTCCTGCTGTCCCTTCCCTGCTCTCACACACGGGCAGAGTCAGCAGTGGAGGGTCTGAGGGAAGCTGGTGCCATGTGGTGCTTTTCTAGTTCATTTCATCTCTTCTTTCCAGCCTTTATTAAAAGAATAACCTTAGTGTCGTGTGTTGGGTAACCAGTGCAGCTCTTGATAATTCAACAGTGAAAGGCTGCTTTTTCTAAAGTGGTCTTCTAATTCAATATCAGACTTTTAAGTATTTGCCCCTGGCTTCACTTTTAGTATTTAGGTTTCCTTTAATTACCTGTTGAAATTCAAATAAAAATTTACACCAGAATATCTTCACATGGGAAATGAGAGCTCTCAGTTTATGTTCTTAAAACAACATAGTTCTTAATATAATATGGTATGTCAATTGTAATTTAAAAATAAAACATTATTTAAAAAAAAATAAAAATCAAACTTGAAAAAAGACCATAGTTCAAAGTTTCCAATTTCTGGAAATTTTGAAGCCAGAGAGAAAATTAATTTTGTTAATTTTTTGTTTTACTAAAAAATTCTAAAAATTATAATTAGTTGATTTGAGAAACATTATGCATAATCTGGTTTACTTATAAAAGTGTAATATTTAGTATATTCAGTGTAAAGATACAGGGTGTTTTTCTTAGACCACAATTAAAATTTAGGGATTAAATCTTTTTTCATATATTCACTTTTTTTTTTTTAGAAAAAGAGCTATAAACACCTGTTGTTTAACAATCTTACATGCTTTGTGTTTATCAGTTTTTGAGATCCATGTAAAGATTTGAGAGATTGAGGAGCCCCCAGAATTTTAGTAAATAAAAAAAGAATATTTTCTGAATTGAGTGTTCTCGATAATCACATCTAGATTAAGAATAAATAACATCTAGATTAAGAATAAATTTATTTTCAAAAAATGAGTTGAAAAGAAAATACATTTGTCTTAAAGTCTTCTGGGAGTTTTGTGTTAAAAATTAAACCAGAACAAATCCTCAAGTTCAGTAGCTGCATGGCGTTTATGCAGGACTTGTCCTGAGATCTTTGTAAATTCCCAGACTTTCAAATGCTGCTATACTTTACATTTGATTTCCCTAATTGATCCAACAGAAGTATAAGTGGACCAGCTAAGAGACCCCCCTGCAGACCCACAATGAGAGACACTGCTGGTAGTTACCAAGAGATATGGCAGTTGATTAGTCTGCCTCACCAGCTTACCTGAGATCCAATCTTGTACCCCAGATTACAAATTACTGTTTCGTGTCGTAAAATGTCCTCTCAGTAGTAGTTGGTATTATGAAGTGTATATTTGGGGATGTTGTTTAGTGTTCTAAAGCATTTATGTAGTTAAAGATCCTAAGCTCTTTCTGTTTCTTGTACAACTCTGCACTCTGAAAAATCTCGAAGTTCATTATCACGCCATCCTACTGCATGTTATTACAAGGGCTCAAACACTCTTATTTTCTCCATTCATATCTTCACCCTTCTTTTGAAGACTGAAGCTTTAATAAGAGGAGCTATTACATGTTAAAGAATGTAGTTTGTTATTTTTCTAACTTTCTGGAGAATATACACCTTTGTAATGTCATCAAGAAACTAGGCCAATTCCAGATTTGCAATAATTGGTGGATAATTATCCATTGTGGTCTCCTAAGCAGTTCTTGCATTTTGCATTGTCCGTCAGTTAACAAAAATAATATATCCTGAGATCCTGCAGGATTTCCCATGCTTTACAGGTGCTGTGCTTTGCAGTGAGCCTTGTTTCTTCCGCTAATTGTTGCATAGCACATATACCAAGCAAAATTCAAACATATTCATTTTTAATCTATAAGAATATAGAAATTATATGTATGAAACATTTGAAGAGGCAGATATTTTCTAATTTCTAATAATGAGATTAAATTGTGTCAAAATTTGTAATGGAAAAAATATTAAGGTGTACTAGAAGAGTTTCCTTTCTGATTATGTAAAATTATCAAACAAGCATATGTCTAAAAATGACCAAAAACAAAAGGAAAACAGTACTTAGGGAAGATTTACAGCAGACATGACCAAGAGGTATTTTTACTATAGAGGATGGCTCATATAAATTGATATATGGGCAAGCCTCAAAAGATAAATGGGCAAAAGGCAGGAAGAAAGAATTCACAAAAGAAATGTGTGTACACCGTATGAAAGTAAACATGAAAAATGCCCAGTTTTGAAAATGATTAAAGACATGCCCATTAAAACTATGATGAGGCACCATTTCAATCATGAAATTGATTTCATAATAAAATGGTATGGCGAAATTAGCATCCAGTTTCATCTGTACGGTGGGGATAATATCAGTACTTACCTCCTATGGTGGTTCTGATGATTAAAGAAAATAACATGTAAAGTGTTTTAAAATAGTGCCTGACACATCATAAACTATTAAAAAATATTAGTTGTCATTATTATTAGTACCATTATATTATTTCCGGTGTTGGTATAAATCATTAAATTAAGGAAAAAGCATCTTGGCAATGACTTAATGAGCTTTTGATTTGGTAATTTCCCTTCTGGGAATCGAGACTCTCCCTCCCCAAAGAAATCCAAAATATTGGAGAAAAACGGCACGTGCAGAGATGTTTATCAGCATTATTTCTAACAGCAAATAGTTGTAAGCTCCCTGAATACCCAGTAATAAGGGCATCAGTGAGTAAAGTATGCAGCTATTTAATACAAAGCGCTCGGAAAGAGCCAGAAAAAGGGAATTTAAGATTTCTGTGTTGCCTCTTATGCCTTCAGTACTTGACCTATTTTATTTCCTTTAATCCTTGAAATAACATCATGAGGTCTTTTTTTTTTTTAAAAAAATCCCATTTGAGAAGTGAGGCATCAAGGCTCAGCGGGAATGGTAGCCGGGTGCCCAAGGTAACGGGGCTTGTCAGGAGCTGGAATGCAAACCCAGGCTTGTTGGGCCTGATGCCCCATGTTGAATCATGGCGGATGCCTGCGTTGTTTTGTTAAGTGACAAAAGCAAGATGCAAAATCATATCTGAATTATGATTTTCACTACCACTAGGATTTTAACACAAAGATAATCTTGTTTCCCGATGCAGTTGTCTAAATCTTTGTAAGTGACGGAGAACCATGTGCTGCATTTATGTTCTTTGCAAGATTTGCTCAAACACTGTTGAGCATACAGTGCTAATGGTCCTAATAATTTTAATATTGTTAGGAATCTTCAGTAACTGACAAGTGTACCTGCTGAGTACGTTAACTCTGACAGGAACGTGGCAGGTTTTCTTCTGACCTTTCGTTTTTAGTTATCATTATATATCCAAATAAAACTGGAGCAGTTGTGTTTTTTTTAAATGTAGTCAGTTAAGGGAGGCTATTAATTAGACAACTGGAGGAGGAGAAGATGGAGATGACCACCTCTCTTACCTCTGAAATCTCTGAACCTTCGTAGGATCAGCCTGAGCATCACAGTTGGATTTGACGATCCTAGGAGCCTTTGGAAAGAAGTACAGTAAAACCTTGGATTGCGAGTAACGTGGTTTGCGAGTGTTCCACAAGATGAGCAAACATTTCTAATACATTTTAATGTGGTAAATGAGCGATGTCTTGCAATATGAGTAGCTTGTTTGCGGAATGAATTATGCTCGCAAACCAAGGTATCACTTGGTATTACAAGGTATTACAAAGATCACGTTTTTTTCCCCTCCTGCGAGTGTCAAAGGCACAAGCGGTAAGCAGCTAGGTTTTAGCTTCTTTGTGGCTCCAGGACCTTTCACTCCTTTCTGTTGCGTAAATAAGATCGTTCTTATTTGTAGCCTCTACGGGAATGAATGGAAGGACCTTTTGTTATTTTTTTTTTGTTCCCAGTCCTTTGATGTCTAGCCAGGAACATGAGCATATCACTATCAGTGTATTTTAAGGAAGTCAGAGCCCCTGAACCAAGAAGCTCACGGTCTGTTTTTCTTAGGAAATGTCATTCTCTGGAGAGAGAATTGGTGCCGTGTTTGAATGATGCTCATATCCCCGTCCCTACGGGACGGTGGGGGTCAGAACCAAAGGGCCTTACTGGGTAACCTCGCTCTCCTGCCAGTGTTGATGACCAGGCTGCTCCGCTGTGTTCCTTCAGGCTCCCAGATCCAGCACCTGACGCAGGTGGGCATTGTGAGCAGAATTGGGGCTCAGCCTGTGGAAATGGCACCAAGCAGAGGCGGCCAGTATGGAGGACCAGGCTGGCCTTCGTACGGGGAGGATGAGGCGGGCCGAAGAGAGGCCGTGAGTATCTGTTTTTGGGTCATGATGGAGAATTCAGACGTAATCCCTTAATTCAGCTGCTTCTGCTTTGAGGATCCCTTTTAAAAACCCATAGTTGGAGATTGTTGGCATTGAACTTTCGGAAAGAATATCATTTTTCTTGAGTCACATTTCAGACTTGAAGTCATGATATTTAAAAAAAAATAACTTTTTAAAAAATAATACAAGCAGCATTCATTACAGAAAATCTGGACAGCTGTCCCTGTCCCTTCCCATTCTCCCAGCGGGCCACACAGGGACTTGGCCAATGGGATCTTTCTTTCTGTCTATCTTTAAGCAAATATTTATTAGGCACCTGTTAAGCTCAAGGGTTTCTTTATTGGAGACCTCTCCTTGAATAATTTCGCCACAGTTAACTACTCTCCATTCCAGCCCTAGGGGGCCCTAATGGAGGGCTGAGTTGTTGGGTGGGAGATGGGTGGAGGGAATTCTGGGAGCAAGCCCGCTGCCAGTTTGAGTTTGATTTTTCCCTCCTGTTCTTACGTGGGAAGTACAGCAACATCTGCCATGTTTTTCAGACACACATGCTCGGACATCAAGAGTATTCTTCTTCACCGCTGTTCCAGGTGCCAAGGACTTCAGGCAGGGAGCCCTCGGCCCCTCCCGGGAACCTCCCGCACAGGGGGCTACAGGGCACCGGCCTGGCTTACACCACCAGCTCCACGGAAGACCTCCAGCCCGGCCACTCCTCAGCTTCGCTCATCAAAGCAATTCGCGAGGAGCTCCTCCGCCTCTCCCAGAAACAGACCGCCGTGCAGAACTTCCACAGCTGATCGGACCTCCCCTTGCACATTTGCCAAGTGTCCGCTTCCTGTGGAAGCAAGACTAAACGGAAGTCAACCGAGTGGGTGTTTGTAAGAGGACGAGCGTCTTCTGGGCCGGGCGCCCGTGGAAGGGAGCGAGTTGCAATTTTTAGAAGATGCCATAAGTCACGTGACAGCTCATGACGCTTTTAAATAAGTTGGCAATTTTGTGACCACTTGGGTCCAGTCACAATTTATGTACTTTTGGCCAAAAGCCGGCAGCATTTCATGGAAGGCAAACCACAAACCTAAGCCGACAAAAGGACTAAGTCAGTCTCCTTTTTTTAAGGCGAAAGATGAAAATGTAGAGATGGTACAGGGAGGAAGGGAACCCAGCCTTTCCCCGGGAAGATTGATTCAGGCTGGTTTGTACGATGAACCTGCTGCTTTTTCTGAGAAAAGAAATTTGAAGACATTTTATTAACAGCGTATTTCCTTCTTTTTCTCCATAGGAACTTATTTTAATAGTAATATTAACAACAAGAATACTAAGACTGTTCGGGAATTCAAAAAGCTACTAGTGAGAAACCAAATGATAGATTGTAGAGCCTGATGATTCCAAACAAAGCCATCATCTGCATCCTTTCCTCTTTCTTATGGTGCTACAGCTCCAGGGGCCCTTCATCTTTTATGTCTGTGAAATGCAACATTGGCTTTTTCGATGGAAGCAGGTGTTGAAGGTTTCATTTTGTTCTAGAAAGAAAAAAGAAAAACAAAACCTCCCCCGTTGGGGGTGGGTGGGAGGTGGAAAGCTTCGTATTTATTTGGTTATTCAAAATACATCTCAAAGGTTAGAGTTACTCTCTTCATTATATTTGCTGTTTGTTAATTGGACATCCCATTGCATATCGTCCTTACGGCCGGGCCTATGGAATGAGGCTTTTAGGAGGTCTTCACCAGTTCTTGCACTTTGCCCAGTGAGTGGTTCACAAATTATGTTTGAATGAGAAATCTTATGTGAGCAAAAACTGTGTTGAAACATTCCTAGGACCACCACATTGTGATTGGTGAATGCGGGAATAGTAATCGCATTCGCTGTGTGTTCAGGACATGGAACCGAGTTCTCGCCAGCCTCTCGCTGCTCAATTAAGAAATGTAAAGAAGAGCTTTGAGAACACAAGGGCAAGGAGAGGGTCGCTCCTAATTTCTGATTTTATTGTGCTCGAATTCTGCTGAGTGACTGTTAAAACCATCTGTGTGCTTTGGGCCTGACAGCGGGTACCATCTCCCTTAACGTTTACTCTCGAAGTCAACAATGCCCCACTTCCCAAAGTAGAGTGAGGGGTATAATAACAAGGGCCGTTCTGTTTTCTGGTACCTGAGCGACGCTCAGAAGAAAAACAGACTTAGATAAATTTCTACTATGAGTCCTTTTTTATTAGATCAACGAATACTTTAAAGAACAGAGGAACAGGCAGAATTTGGGGCTTTGACTAATCAAAATCTCTGTCACATTCGAAGAACCCCGAAACAGCTAAAAATAGATTTCTAAAGTGTAATTATCATCCCACAATCATGTTTCAGCATTTCTTTCGTTGAGCCTGTCGACAGCCTTACAATACAGGGAAAGGGGGTTCTGGGAAGTTAAAAGGCAGCCATTTTTCATCTGGACACCCCTGAAAGAGGAGGGAGGGGCTCGGGAGGAATAGCCTCAAGGATATTAAATTAAGGAAAGGGAACTCCTTTTCAGGCAGGTGTCACAGGCTGTAAGGGCATGGGAGAGATGACCCGCTTCTGGGTTTGATTTCTTACCTCTCAATCTTGGTTTAATACCCAGAGTGGAAGATCCTGTTTGTATGTCACTAAAAGATACCAGTTTTCCTGAATATGTTATTAAGAATTTGAGATATCCAAGCAGTCTTATGGACACCTTACCGTGAATTCGAGTCCTGTGACAGCAAGTGGACTCAGTGCAGGCCCCTCTTTCTCCCATTCTGCTCAGTGTGGTAAGTGTTTGCACTAAGAGTGTACCGAAAATGGTTACCACCTTTGTATGGTGCAGAAACGGGCCTCTGTGTTAAAGGGGGCTGCAATAGCGATTGTGATGCTTTTCCTATTAGCATAAAAGGATTCTACTGGTATTGTTCTTCTTAGAATTGATACACTTTTAAGCCGATGTCGAGACCAAAGAGACCATATCGTAAACCACCATGGTGTGTGGTGTGAGCAGCCCCGTGGCATCAGTGGCACTCTTGTGTTGGCCATAATGACACTCAGCTTGCCCTCGTTTTCTCTGCCCCATCACTTTTACCAATCACCAAACTCAGGACAGACTAGCTGTCATGGGGAGTGCCACACCAAATGGGTCTTCAGACACCCAGCTAATGGGATCAATTGAAAGGAAGGCCTTGTGTCCATCATGTGTGCTTTGGAGTGAGTGCCATTTCTTTAAAGCACTTGTAAAGTGAAACGTTAAGTTTTATTGTCTCTTCTTTTTTCCCCATTTTCAAAGCTCTAGTGGCCATAACACGAGCTATACATTTGAGTCAGAATTTTAGAGAGGATTGTTTGGAGAAATGATCGTTTTGCAGAGTCGACTTTGTCATGAACTCATGATGTCAGGTCGTTTCTGGGAGCCTCATTCTCTCCATCAGCCAAACAAGGACAGAGCTCCCCGGCCCACCTCCCGGGATTCCTCGTTGCGAGAATCAGATGTGATCATGTGCGCACATGTCCCCAAAGCACTGTGAAAATGTAAAATGTTGTCTGTATGATGATGCTAGATGGACGATCTGATAGGCTGTGATCTCTTCGTGAATGAGTTCACACGGAGGTAACCAGAGCAAAACTAAAGGCTCCGTGTGACTCCTCGCTCTTTCTCTCTCCCATTGGGCTTTACAGTCACTTCCTTCTCCATTAACTTTGAAACGGCATTTCACTGAAATCTTTCTGCTCCTGATTTTCTGCTGTTTCTGGCCCCACATATGTCAAACATAAACACTGCCTTCTGAAATCTTAGAATCTAAGTCAGGTAGCACTGACAGACATAAATGCCCATCTATAATAGGTACACATAAATAACTTGGTTTAAACACCAGTAGGATGTGTTGAAAGTACACACATGCATTAGGTACTCAGAAGAAGTGGAAATTGCACATTTGGAAACAGGATCTTGGGGAGAAGTCAACCAACCAGGAGCCACTTGAATGAAGGCAGAGGAACTGACCTGGCAAATGGTGAGATGGCGTGGGAAGAGAGCCTGGGAAGGATGTAGAAAGCGGGTGAAGCTGTTGTTGAAAAGGAACTTGATCCTGATCTGATATATGGGGACAAAATTCCTAACCGCGCTGTGTAGGGAGTTTTATAAGAGGAGGAAGTGGTGCTGTGAGTACGTTTGCAGTAATACAGCAAGGAAATGACCAGGCCTGTGCAGAAGGTCTATGGAGGAAGAGATCCATTCTGGAGGGAAGGGGAGAGTAGCAAGAACTGCTGAAGGACCAAATGTATGAAAATAGTGGTAAGCATCCATCTGCTCCATGGCTTAGAGCAGATCTCAGTGGTCAGCCATTGAACCCTTTGCGGGACATTGTGGGTTATAAATACATACATTTGACTTCTCTACAGCTACCGACACGTTTTCCTCCAAATGTTATTTCATTTCAGAGTGTGTTTTGATTGGGGGGGGGGAAGGGGTCCATGGCTTTTGAGCAGTAGATTAAGTAGTGGGTGTTTGCCAACCAGACTTTTCAGGGCCCGAGGCCGGTGATGCAAAGCCCCGTTGAAGAAGGTTTGCCTGAAGGCTTTGGGCCGAAACAAGTGATTCTGTGCTTGATGAGCCTCCTGTTTAACTGTGTGTCTGGGTAGGTGTTCACTGCATTTGCACAGCTTCTTAGTGCTCCGGTGACCAAGCCAATCACGGGGACACTGATTTGCATTTGCCGTAATTCACAAGTTAATCATTACCTGAACCTCTCTGTCCCCTTCATGCCAGATTCTTAGACATGAATGAATTCGTTGGTTGGAAGGAAAGCTGGTTAAGATTCTGGGTTGGGGGAGGGGGGAAGGGGGCTCCAGTCTTAACTACCACACAGACTTCAGCTCTAGTTGAGTTTTAGCCATTTCATTTCTACCTCCAGAAGAAGTCTCCAAAGCCAGCCTCCAGGACCCACATTTGTCCCAGACAGGAGCATGAGGAAGTCCACTTCTATACCTGCAAACAGACCATTGACTACAAAACACATTTTTGTGGGATGGTGACTTGAACTTCGTTGCTACATGTAATGCAACACATTAACAGATATTCTTGTCACAGGTGAGAGGGGTTTCTGTGAGCAACTGCTGTAACGTACTCATACAATGTAATAGGCTTACACTTAATACCTAGTGAACAAAGAGTGTGTATGTACATTTCAGGTTTCTTTTGCTATGTTTGGAAGTGATTTTCAGTGTTTAAACTAGGACTCCATTTTCTAGTATTAAAAAGACTTGAAAACCGAGACCTCACGGTACGATCCTACTTCCATGCTTGTGTGTGTAATGGTACACTTGAGAATTTATCTTAAGAACACACAGCAGCATTGACAATTAGGGAAAGAATATTTAAATGCCTTTGGAAACATGACACAAAGTTAGGAACCAGCAAGCAAGTGGAGAAGGAATGAATGTCTTAATCTGAGTCCAAATTATTATAGTTTCCCACAGGGTAGGTAATTATGCAGACGCCTTGCTTTTCCCCTTCTGCCTCCAGGTTTTTCTGCTCTGGGGCCACTTCACATTTACAGGAAGTATGAATTGGTAGAAGGAACAGAGATAAAAATTTAAGCGATTCAGGTCTTGTGGTCCCTGATTCCATGGAACCATTTTGGACAACTTGGAGCATTGTGAATAGTGTCTTCTCACGCCCACCAGACTTCATGCCTTCGTAACTTGACTCCCTAAGTGTGCAAGTTAGGAATAGCACAGGGCCACATTCAAGCCAGACACCCTGTACTGTTCCTCCTGCAGATATTGGGAAAGAAGGAGGCACTAGAGGAATGGGAGCTCCACCAATCAACTCAGTGGCTCTAAGCACCAGAGCGCCTATTTCAGAAGAGGGGCGTAGACTTACCTTTGCTTTTCTCCAGGGCATCAGCGAGGGAGCATGGAGAGTGAGCTAGCCTTACCCTTACAGGAAAGGTTGCTTAGCAGACCCACTCTGGATGCCCCCTTGTCCCTTCCTGCTCTGTCAGGGTCCATGTTCTTCTGACTCTTCCCACACTCTCATTCCTAGATTATGAGTGTTAATGTACGAAAATGCGCAGAGGCCACGTGTGGCTTCAGTACTGCAACTTGAACTTGACAATCATGGTTTGCTGGTCTCAAACGGGCACTTAAATTTCGGTATGGGTATATGATTTAGTAATCGAATCCTCCCTCCTGTTTGTCGGTTATGTTTCTACCCTTCAATTAGCTGCACTGTTTTCTAATGTGCTGTAGAGTTTTTGAAATAATTTATGCAAGTGTTTGGTTTCCATGTTTACAATTTATACAGCTTTCCTAGCATTTTAAATGGAAATGTCAATAAATGCTATGAATTGGTGTCAAGTGACATTTTCTGGTTATTTACTTTGCAACGTGAGAGTTTTCTCATTTGTAAAATGTGAAAGTTGAATGAGATGAATTTTTTTTTTCGGTCTGTAATGTTTGTGTCCCTGGTGAGAAAACTCAGTACTTGGATTTTTCCAAGGAACGATGTTGAAAGTAGTCTATTCAATATGTGGAATTTGCAGAACGGTTTCACTCACTGGCTAGTGTCACTCCCTTCTACTCACTGTTTTGCTTTACTGCTATCCGCTAAATCAAATCGATGCTTCCACTAAGAGCAGATGCATTTTGGAATTAAAAGATTAGGACTCTACAGCCTAGAAAGATAAATGAGAAGATCAAAGTCTGTACAATCTGTAAAGGTTATAGGATAAACCTGGAGTTGTTTACGAAACCTAAGAATATAAGAACCTCTTGAAAAGGAATTGAAACGCAGTGGACCATAACAAAATGAAATGTGAAAACCTGGATAGGATCCTGGAGCTACAAACAAGGTAATCAGTGGGAAAATGGTGAAATGCAAATAAAGTCTCTAGTGTAATTGACAGTATTGTTCAAAGGTTAATGTATTGGTTTTGCTAACTGTGCTATTGATTACTTGACTTGAATAGTAGGGGAAACTATACAAAAGGTATACAGAAACACACAATGTTATTTTTGCAGTTTTTCTCTAAATCTAAAGTTACTTAAAAATGTAAAAACTACCAGTTTTTAAATGAATAATTTTTAATACGCGTATAATTTTTTAATTAATCCGGTACAGATAAAGGCTCCTCTGCAGAGGCTAATATGAGCCTGCCCTGGGTACCCATAACCTGTAGTAGAACCTGCTATACTTCTCAGGGCAGCCAGTTCCTGCTGAAGTTGTAACCACAGTTAACAATTGTTAAGTCTCAGCAGAAAATAAGCCTTTATGAAGGAGAGTTCAGGGCCAAGGATCAACCAAAAGGGAATGTGAACCTAAAATTTAGAGAAAATAGACCACGATGAAACAGACCCTTAAAGAATGTTTCAAGTGTTTAAAGAGGTAAACAAACAAACAAAACACTAGTAGACAACAGAAAAGGATATTAGGAAAGTTTAAGCACATTTGACAAAACCAAAAATTCTTGAAGGAAAAATAAAGAAATTGAAAAACATACATATACACGTACAATGCTCAGATAGTCCAATATATTGGACATAGCTGAAGAAGTAATTATTGTGACAGTTTTAATATATCTTTATATTATGTTTTAATAAATGCAGTTTAGATTAAACACGAAAACACAATGTAGACTAACTGTACAACTCATTCCCCTAAGACATCTTGTATGCCCTGACTGTAAACAGGTTCAAAGTGGTAGAAGAACAGGGAGTGACTAGAAGCAGCTAAGGTCAGGCTGGTCCCATGCCCTGAGCCTGAACCCTGAGTTGACATGATAATGAATTTAAACCCTAATTGACATAATTGGACAACCCTCTTTCGCCTCTTCCATGTGGCACCTGCCAAAGCACAGCTTAAGGTAAGAAGAAAATAAGAACCAATAGGAAATAAGAAGAAAAATCTTTTGTTCCAGTGTCTGAATGAGATAAATTAAGTTAATGAAATGTTTCCATTATTGAAATGTTTCCAGTGATTGTTGGACTGTGCACTGTTTATCTTATAACTTGCTTCCTCTAAAGTTCTCCCACACTTTCCATGCTGCGCCCTTCTGTGGACTAAGTGGGGGTGGTGTGTCTTTGATTTCTCTGGTGTTGCAGACTTGAAAAATTACAGCCGCACATCTAGGGAACCCACATTTGTACAGGTAAACGATTCGTTGTACTCGTGCCAAAGGATAGCATTACAGAAGAGTAAAACGCATGGTTGGTTATATGAGTCTAAGGACCTTGAAAATACGCATTAGTGTAAGTACTTAAGATTTTGATTCTGTGATGTGATGATATACCTCCACAATCAGTGGTTGCTTTCAGCGTTTTAAAATTCTCAGATTCTTCTAAAGGAAACATTAGTACGAAGGGTTTAAAAAAAAATGGCTTGAAAGCTAAAATGGGGTTGGCCGCATTTCAGTACAAATGAATGTTCATCTTTTTTTCCAACAGTAGCTCTGCACTGTGGCTGCCTTGAAAGAGCAGCAGGGATGTTCTGTTTTTAGCAGAACCCAGAAGTAGTTCTTCCCCTCTGATCCCCCTAAAGCTCTAAGTGCAAGACGAGAGGAACCACCACCTGGATTTCAAGTCCAAGAACCAGTATGTGTTTGGATCACTTTTATGTTTCCCTGATACCATTCTTTTTGGATTCCTTGTGAGATAGATGATTCCTTGTGAGATAGATGTGATATACAAACTAGAAGTAAGGTTAGAACAAAAACACCTAATTAGCTGAATTTAAATCACAACATCTTATTACTATGTGTAGCCTATGAACCCTACCTTTTTTGCTCTACCTTTCCTGGTCAAAATGCAGATTAGCAAGAAAGAAAGAAAACCACTGTAACTCCATCAGTGACACTGCAATCAAACTTTTTGTAAGTTTTGGTCTCTCTCTCTCTCTTTTTTTTTTTTTAGATAAATAGCCAATTTAATCTTGTTTGGTGACCAGGACTCATGAGGATGATTTGCTTTCTAATCTTACAGTAAGCTATTGATTTGGATTTAAAACATACAAGGGTGGGGGTTGTGGGGTGGAGACTAGGAGGAGGGCCAAAGGTTTGGAACTGGTGTGGGATGTAATCTGGAAAGACGGATTGACAGCATTTTTTAACTGCTGGAGGAAAATGGCACCGTGACCTTAAGAACCCACCCCTTGGTGCTGAATTCTGTACTCTAGTGGGGGGCACTGCGCAGTTGACCTCCGGACACATTTCATGGAAGTTTGCAGGGCCTTCCCAGTGTTTGTAGCTGGATCGAAGACTGCATGGCTAGGCAGGCCTGGTCCAGAAAGCGATATTCTATTTCTAATCTTTGGCTTTCACACTAGGTAATTTAGAGGCTTTGACACACAAACTGCCTTGGAGGGACCCTTGTGAAATGTGTCTGCCTTGATATATTTTTCTTGAGTGTGGGGCTTTCCTTAACTGGCTAACTAGGCATACATGTCAATTCTTCATAATGCATTTCCTGCCTAGGCTGGTCCCCCTTTTCCTCCCCCTACACTGACCACACAGGATGAACCAGGAGTAGCATCTCCCCTATTTCTGCAGGGTCAAAAGTATGCTGTGGCCTATGACAAAGCCCCCTGTTCCCAAGTCCCTTTCCAGAAAATTCAGGTTTTACCCTCTGAGGTTACTGGCCCCTGGATTACACAAGGTAATGTTGGAATACTCTTCACATCACTGGGTTCAGACTTACTGAATTCTTAGATGCTGCAAAATTTAGAAGGATGGTATTGTGATGGGTGGCTGTCAGAATTCAAAATGATATTGACAGGCTAAAACACAGGCCCAAAACACCAACATTTCCTTTATTCCTACTAAATTGAAAGTCCTAGGTTTAAAAAAACCTTTAATAGGCATATGGGATGGGAGATGCATATGGTCTAACAGGGCTTTCTACAAAGAGATTTGAGCATGGTAACTGATCTGTCAGGGATTATTACGAGCGCTGGGGATACTGGAAAAATCAGCACAGCCTTAGGCACTATCAACAGAAACATATTGCCCCAGTGAGGGGATGTAAGAATTTGTCTCCTCTGTTGGTTGGTTGAAGAATACAGATGCCACATTTTGAAAGGAATGTTTATGAATTGGATGGAGAGACTGGGAAGGAGAATGGCAGGACTGGAAACCAAGTCATTTCAGAAAGAAATAAAAAAACTAGGTGTCCACCCTGAGGAGTGAAGGCTTGTAGGAGACAGAGCTATCTTGAAATATCCGAAATGTTATGAGAAAGGGGATTGATTGATGTGCTTTATGGAATTCTGGAAGACTGAACTAATGCCTCTAATTAGACCGAACTAATAGACAGCAGGTCTTGGTCCAGTTAAAAGAACAGTTATCTCGGGCCAGCCAAGTGGTGCGTTGATTAAGAGTTGGCCTGGGATGCCAGCTGTGAGCAGCAGGGCTCCAGTTCGGATCCCACATGAGGGCCAGTGATGCTGCGCCCTCTACAGCTAAGGTGGTGAGCAGCAGCTCGACCTGGAGCTGGGCCGCTGTGAGTCACCAGCGACGGCGTAGGCTGCAGCCCCTGCTGCAGTGGGCTGCCATAAGCTACCGTGAGTAACTGGCAGCCAGTGTGAGCTGCGAAGAGCGGCCGTGAGTGGCCGTCCAGTGGCTGGTGACCGATCTGCCTCACCTGGAAAGAGCGCAACAATAATACCAACATGGGCCAGTGAAGTGACGTCCTCTACAACTAGACTGAAGAACAAAAGGACAGCAACTTGTCTGTTCCCCTTCCCCGATTCCCCAATAAAATCTTAAAAAAAAAACCCAACAAAACCCAGTTATCTCAGTAGGTAAACACAGAAAAAGCCATTCTCTAGAAGTCTTTCCCATCAGTCTCTATTAAGGACCTCCCTCCCATGACACTACCCTTGTTCCTCACCTGTCCTTCAACAGAAGGACTGCATGTCTGGGCCTTGAGGCCTCCCAGCCCACCTGGTCCTTTTCCAAGACGTATGGACCAATGAGGTGGAAGCTTAAACCTAGATGGATGTGACAGCAAAACCAGCTCAGGCTCTCTCCAGAGTCAGGGTGATGGGGACATACTCCATCACCCAACTCCATCATGTTTAATTATGTCATAAAACTAAAGGAGAAAAAGATACTTTTTAGTATGTCTTGGAAAAGTAGATAGAAATAAAGTTGAATGGTTTATAAATATAAATGGCTTATTAAAAACGACTATAATTAGAACATGGTATATTACTTGTACCTAAAAGCAAACAATCTCAATTTCAGTGTTGAGACTCTCATGGGACAGCAATTAAACTCACCACTGTACAAGATTGTATGGTAATACTACTGATATAGGAATGCATTCATTAAACAACTATTCAGTACAAGCTATGTGATAGGTACTGTTGTCAGCACTGGGAATTTAGGATACACCGGGGAGTAAGACAGATTCCCTGCTCCAGTCTGGAGGCTGTAGATAAACAACATGGAGGCCCTTGGGACCTGGACAAGAGCGGTCTCAGTGAAATGCTGGAGCAAGAGACCAGTGTGGCGGGGGAACAAAGGAGGGCTAAGATGTGGGAATGAAGAGAACGGCAAATTTAGACCACTCTTTTCAGACATTTTGCTGAGAAGGGAGGCAGAGAAGGTGGTAACTGCGAGGTAGGGATGCAGGGTAAGTGACATAGGGTTGCCAAATAAAATACAGGGAACCCAATTTGAATTTCAGGTAGACCAGGAATACTTTTTTGTTTTTTTAGTTTAAATATGTCCTAAATAGTGCATGGGACACACACTAAAATATTATTTTAGTTTATGTGACATTTGTGTTTATGTGACATTCAAATTTACCTAGGTGTCTGTATTTTTATTTGCTAACTGGGAACCTTAAAACAACAGGTATCAGATGTGTTGTGTGCTGATGGGGATGACCCGTGGCGTGGGGGAGGTTATTACTGATAAGACAGAGAAGGAAGTGAGAGGGACTGAGATTGAGTGCATAATGGGCAAACTGGCCTTCGGAGGAACAGGGATATTATCCCACTGTGCGAAGGAGGGAAAACAATGCATTCAGGTTATTCTGTAGATAAGCAAAAACCGACAACCTTTTTGGTTCTGAGAAAAATAATTTCAAGTAAATATTTCTTTGCCATTTCTTTAGATTTATAAGCTCAGGGATTTTTTTTTAATAGGTAGCAAAACATGAATTCCCAGTAAATTGTCTAATTTTGTGGTTGTTTAAAAATGAACTCTGCTCCATTTTCCATGGCGACTGAGATCCATTCAGATCAATACTGTCTGTTATTTGGGGTCACAACACGACTGAGTCACACGGTGGTATTTACTCTTTTAAATTTGTTAAGGTGTGCTTTATGGGCCAGAATGTGGTCTGTGTTGGTGAATGTTGCATGTGAGCTTGAGAAGAATGTGTAATCTGCTGTTGTTGGATGAAGTAGTCTATAGATGTCAATTAGATCCAGTTGATTGATGGTGCTGTTCAGTTCAACTAGGCCCTTACTGATTTTCTGCCTGCCAGGTCTATCAGTTACTGATAGAGACGTGTTCAAGTCTTCACATGTAATAGTGGATCCATCTGTTTCTCCTTGGAGTTCTATCAGTATTTGCCTTACATTTTGTTAAAAGTATATGCATTAAGGAGTGTCATGAATTCTTGGGAATCTGGCCTCTTTATCATGTTGTAATGCTTCTCTTTATCACTAATAGATTTCCTTGCTCTGAAGTCTGCTGTGTCTAAAATTAATACAGCTTCTCCAGCTTTCTTTTGATTAGCATTAGCATGGTATATCTTCTCCATTCCTTTACCTTAAATCTATCTTTGTCTTTATAGTTAGAGTGGGTTTCTTGTAGACAATGTATAGTTGGGTCTTATTGTTTTTTTAATCTATTCTGATAGCCTCTGTCTTTTAGTTGGTGTATTTAGATCATTCACATTTAAAGTGATTATTGATATGGTTGGATTAATGTCTGCCATCTTTCCTGCTGTTTTCATTCATTGACCTTGTTCTTTGTTTCTGGGTTTTTTGGGGTTTTTTTTGTGGTTTTCTTTTTAGTCCTTTTCTAGCTTTTTGAGTATTTATATTCCATTTTCTCTCCTCTCTTAGTATATCAATTTTACTTCAATTTTTGCTTTTTAAGCAAGTGCCATGGAGTTTGCAATATACATTTACGCTAATCCAACTCCATTTGCAAATAGCACTATACTGCTTTACAGGTAGTACAAGTACCTTATAACAGAGGTCCAAGCTCGTTACTTGATGGACTGAAATCTGGAAAATATATTGGTGCTTAATTCACAGTTAAACACATATACACATGTGCCACCCAGACATACACAATCCGCTATAGTGTTGCCCAAGGTTACTTACTATGCAACTTACTCAACAACCCTCCACATTTTGGCAAAATCCTTGCCCGGCTTTTCCCTGTGTACTCGTATGTATTTTATTTTGCTTAGTTGAGGGACATAGTATATACACAATTTTCTATCCTGTCTTCATTAGCATTGTCATAAACATTGTCTCATGTCATTAAAGACTCATTTTTATCCATCGTTTTATGTCTATGTATACATATTTTTTCCAAATTCTTGTGTAATTTATCATTTTAAAAAAAATCTTATAGCTTCCGTGTATCTGAGTTTATTTCTTTACTAAAAACATTTTTTCCTTTACTAATTTGATTACATTTGTTTCTCTAAAACATTTTGTGGTGGGCACTCTGGTTCCCTTAACATTTCAACAAAGGAATTGCTGATTCCTTCACCATTCTTGTCTAAATATGAAATGTGTAATTAGTTCTGGGGGTAGAAGTTGGATATCAGGGTGTCAGCTTTGTAGGGTGAGGCCCTTTTCTGGGTTGCAGGTTTCTCATTGTATCCTCACATGGCAGAAGGGGCTGTATATGTTTTCTGCATAATTTAACCATTCCTCAATGTTAAGCATTTGGTTGTTTCTAATGTTTTGCTGTTATAAATAATGGCATCTAAATACCTTTGTGTATAAATTGTCTAGTTTTCAGATTATTTCCATATAATAAATTTCTAGAGTTGAAATTCCTGAGGCAGATGGCCAGAATACATTTAAAGGGTCTTATTTCATAGTCTCAATTATTTTTCAGAAACCTGGGCCAATTTATGTCACCAGTATCCATTTTCAGAATACATCTCATACCGTCACCAGCATTGAGTGATAGAGCTATATTTATATATTTTTAAAATATAATTTGACAAAAGTTTCCACGTAATTTTTACAGTTATCATTTTACATCTATGTACTACCCCATAGTAATATTGTCTTACCATTACCTTGTCCTTTGATATTTAGGGTTCTTTTTCCAATATGATACATTATCTAGAATAGCAAAGTATAAAAAACTATTGTTTTTCCAGACTATTTCCTAGCTTTTTTTTCTTTGAATTATTTTTTTATTAGGCAAATTATCAGTAATAGGTCATAAGATGGGGATGTTTTCTTTGGCATACATGGATCTTAAGGGGCTCTCATAGTGTTAACATTATTTATTGGAAGTCATCAGGCAAAACAGGTCATTGTTGATGTGTGGTTAATTTGTGTGTGTGTGTGTGTGTGTGTGTGTGTGTGTGAGAGAGAGAGAGAGAGAGAGAGAGAGAGAGAGAGAGAGAGAGAGAGAGAAAGAGAAAGAAGAGGGGGAGCGAGGAAGATGGAAATCATTGGTCTCTAAGGTCCCTTCCAACTCAGATTCTTTGACTTAGCATATTGTCCCAGTATCCCAGACAACCTTGCTGGTAAAGATTTAAAGCAGAGAATTTTCAGCCTGGAAAGGATCCTTTTTTTTTTCTTTTAAATCGAGCTGAGCTACTTATTCTCATGTGACTTTGGCCAACTCACATTATCTCTTTGGGTTACGCTGGACCCCACAGTGCACCTAAAAATAATTTATGTAAATCACAGTAAATGTTAAGCTAAACATTTCTGGGTAGAATTTTTTTTTAACGTTATTACCCTTAGACCATGGTGGAGATCTGATGTGCCTTACGTGCCAGTTCCTCCCATCCCACAGATCTTACTCACCTGGCTCCTTGCCACCCTCACCCCCACCCCCAGGACTCTTCACAGGGAATCGCCCTTGGGAAGGTGGGAGGCGAGAGGTTTGTTTGTTCCCATGGAGCTGGCTGCCTTCCACACTTGATCCTGAAATGGGCAGGGCGTCCTGGGAGATTATGGGAGGTTCCAGTTTTTCCACTGGTAAAAATGAACTCTTGCAGTGGGATATCAATTCTGTGAAAGTTATTTTACAATAGTAAAAATGTTTTTTAACATTTTTAAATGGTTAAAAACTCCCTTCCTCCCTGGCATCTGCATTCTAGTGTTTTGTAGAGTAACAGTGGCCTGAAATACCCTCAGTATAAGCCTTGTGGGTCATGTCTGAGGTTTTCTCACCATCTCAGCATGGAACATGGTTGTCATTCAGCACCATAACCCACTCGATTGTATGTTCTTGCTGCTAGGACAGACTTTCAGGACGGACCAGCAGCATCTACATTATGGTTCATTTCTGGGAAAACACTGGTCTCACTCATATTCTAAAAAAGTCAATTGCAGAGTTGCTCTCTTGAACAAAACAGTTTCTCCATATTTCTCCAAACCTGGCATGATCCTGGCATACCTAATGGTGAAAAATCTGTCCTGGACCCAGGAATATAGTAACATGAAAGTACATTTTATTTTCTTAATTCAGATAAAATGCACACTTGACTAAAATTTTATTTATAGCCATTTAAAAACTCACATGAAAAGAAAAATGCTAACTTGGATACAAATCAATAGCCATGCTGTTTTCAGATTCAAAATAAAATTGAATTCCGTAAATCGAATTCAATAGCTAACAGTGGGATGCTGTGTATATTATTCTTGGGTGAGGCACGGACATGACTGATATCTATCCTGGAACAGGAAGATAGGAAGAAACAATGAAAAGTCAATTTCAATTTCTGGGACAATTGAATGAAAATTTAAAAGCAGGTTATTCCATAATACTTAGTTTAATTAATGTGCTTCTTTTGTGATCAGCATTACTGCCTCTGGCACTCTTTCCCAGAGAAATACGTTCACAGGCCCACAGAGGGAACATGTGAGGATTTTTGTGGCAGGGTGACATGGAAGTGGGGCCTGGATCCCTTCTAGGAATGCGTCTCCAAGATAATGGAGAAGTGAACCGTGGTGCCCACATGTTGGGATTCTGTGCAGCAGCTAGAAGCTCTGGACATATGGACATAGTAGAGTAAATAGATCTTAACCACATTGCTATTGAATGAACAAAATCAGAGGCAGGAGCAAATATAGTTTATGTAAATTCAAAACACTTAAATTATAATAACTCTTCACTTGCAAGAGCACATAGCAGGACCCACCCTCCCTAGGGGCTGGGGGCGGGAGAATGAGAGAGAGGAATGGGGGTAAAAGTGAATAAAGAGTAAAATGAGAGGGACCCTGCGAGACCAATAATGACAGAGTGACAAAAACTGAGAGCTGTGATGAACTATACCCTCTGCATAGATGTCCAGGTAAGTGGGGGTAAGAACAGGCTATGGTTTTTGACAAATGGATGATGGCACGTATCCGCCATTATTGTATCGCACAGAATAGTTTTCCTGCCCTAAATATCCTCTGTGCTCTGCCTGTTCATCCCTTCCTCTTCACAACCATTTGATAGTTTTACTGTCTCCATAGTTTTGCCTTTTCTAGAATGTCATAGAGCTGGAATCCTACAGTATGTAGCCTTTTCAGATTGGCTTCTTTAGCAGTAATATTTATTTAATGTTCCTCCGTCTCTTTTCATGGCTTGAGAGCTTGTCAGTTCATTTTCAAAAGAATATTTGACTCAAAAATTTTCCACAGTGTAATTCAATTCCCTGGACTTCGTGTATTGCTTATACGTGTATTGCTTTTGTATAACAATACACAACTTGGGAAAGAATCCACTTGCTCAGCCAGTGAACATAGATACTTGCTTACCTTTATAGGACCATTTTGGCTCCTATTCCTTCTTGATAGAAATAAACATGTCATAAGAGAAATATGATAATTGCATTTTGGAACCTGCCTCCCTAGTGGGGAAGAGGAATGTAAGTCTGCGTTTGCGGTCCGTCAGACTGTGTTGCCATCTGCGCTGTGCTCCCTTCTTCAGTGGCGCTTTACCGGTCTTGCCACGATTGATTATTGTTTCCAAGAAACAATGCATTTGAAATACACTAGGTAGCAAGTGTGCTTTGTACCAGACAAACCCTTAATGGAAGCCAAGTGTGACATCTTATGTGTCGTTTCTTTTTTCTTAGGTTTTAGCGGCCCTTAGGACAGACACTTCCATGCAAATTTCAAAAGGTGCCAATTCCTCAAGGAAAACTGAGTGAGTTATGAACAACAACCTGAGCTACCCCAGAAGGGCTTTTGCCATCCCAGTGGGCAGCGAGCGGCCTTAGCTCCCTACCCCTCACCTGCTCTCCTATTCCTATGTACCCTAGATCCCAGGATGCCCTTGTGGGCCTCTCAAACATGCCATGTCCTCTCCCAGGCCATCTAGAGTCAGGCAGTGGTGGATTCTGCCTTATAGGGAGCGGCTGGGGAGGAAAGTGTGTGTGTGCGAGCGCTCCCCTGGTGTGTGCACAGCCTCGTGGGCAGTGTGGGTTGATTCAAGAATCAGAAGGGGGTTTCCCGCCGCCCCAGGGCTTGCAGGAGAGGCCGGAAGGGCTGCATCCCCCTCCCCCTGCTGTCCCCAGCTCTCACACAGGTAAGTCTGGATGGGAACCGTGCCTTTGTCTGGTGCACAGAATGTGTGTGACTCTGGGGCTGGCATCCATCACCTCTCGTTGCATCTCCCAGGACAAGGTCTGCACCCTCTGACCTGTTCTTGTGCGGGCAGTGTGTGATGTGGGACAGGAGAGCCATGATGGGCCCTGGGGAGGTGCAGGAAGGCGGCCTTGTGCGTCCTGTCACGGGGGGTGAATCACTCCACACTCCCACGGAAGTTCCATAGGGAACTGCATTCTGCCTATTGGTCTAGTTGCTTCCATGTCTGTGGTCCACACATTGCAAGCCCTTGAGGACATTTGATTTCAGGTTGAAAGTGCTCTGTTTTCAAAAACTTATACTGCTTGTCGTCTTGTAGTAGTTGGCTGGGGTTGCTGTCACCAAGGACCACAGACTGGGTGGCTAAGACCAGTAGTAATTTGTTGTCTCACAATTGTGGAGGCTGGAGTCTGAGATCAAGGTGTCGGCAGAGTGGCTTCCCTCTGGGGGCTGTGAGAGACTGCTCCAGGCCTCTCCCCGAGCTCCTGGTGGTTTGCCGGCCATCTTTTGTGTTCCTTGTCTTATCGAAGCATCACCTAGTCTGCCTTCATGTTGACATGGCGTTCTCCCTCTGTGGGCGTCTGTGTTTGAATCTCCCCCTTATATAAGTGCAGGTTGGATGAGGGGCCTACCCTATTCCAGAGTGACCTTATCTTAACTAATTATATCTGCAATGACCCTATTTCCAAGTAAGGTTACATTCTTGAGGTGCTGGGGCTTAGCGTTTCAACATATGAAATTTGAGGGGATACGCAGGTGCCCTCATTTTGACAGGGTAACGGGAATCTCCGAGGTAAGAGATCGTTTTCAAAGTTACAAAGAACAGGAGAACAGGACAGATGTTTCAACAAAGAGTTCAACAAATAGTCACTGTGGGAACAAACCAAGGACCACCCCAATGAGAACAAGCAAAAGCTATTTTTTCAGAGCTTGCTGTAGTTAAAGAGGCAGCCACCACCATTTACATTTGGCAGTCAGGGGCAGGCGGAGGAGTGGGCAAGAATTTTAGTGAAAAGTGGGGAAGGCTTTGGGTGTCTTCAGGTGTGTCCTCATTGGAGGCTGTTGGCATGAGGCAGCTGTACGTGGGCACTTGGAGTGGGGCATCCTGTGTCATTGGGTAGGCATCCTGTGTACATGTTTGACTTTCTCTGGTTGGTCCTAAGTTGGAAGTGGGTGCAAAAATCAAACAGAAGCTATTGGTTTTTACCTAAATCCTGGCTGTTTGAGCCGATTGTTATGGAGGTTGTTGGGCTTCCTGGCCTGGTTGCTGCGGGTGGTGGGTTGGCTCCCTGAACTGGTTGCTACCGATTGTGGGTCAAAGTTCTATTTTTAGATATGGCCTGGCCCTTGTCCATTTGTATATTTAGTCTCTCATCACACAATTAACTTGTTGGGTAGACCTGCCAGTTACTCATTTCCACAAATGACTTAAATGCTTGCGATCCCAAACTTACAGAAACAATAATTTAAATTTTTTCCAACCTCAAATCCCAAGTGTTCTCAAGGGCCTCCTCCTTTGTCTTCTGAGCTCTGTTGCTTCATTGTGGTTATTTGCACAAGCCGCGTTCCTGGGTCTCCTCTGAGTCACTAATTCATCAAACATTTACTGAGTTTTTGCCGCACATCCGGGCACGGGTGGAAGGAATCAGAGGTTAAAGACACAGTCCCTGCCTTCAGAGAGACCAATGAGAAAGACAAGCAGGCGGAGACTATTGTCCAAAGTGCTCTGTTGTCAAAGACAAACAAAGCTGGACACTAAAGTGATAGGGACAGATGTAATCAGTAATACACTATTGCGATGGGTAGAGAGTCCCATGTGAATTGAACTCAACTTCGATTTTGTACCCAGGTGACTGGGCGTTTTATAGGGAGAATGAGGGTGTAGGGTGGAGGTTGTTTGTGGGGGCTCAGTAGAGTCCGGAAATGAGAAGTGACAAAGAATTGGTCAATGTAAATGCAGATAGGCCAGTGGTGTCTGCTAATTGACAGCCATCGAAGTTAGGATTCTGTTCTCCCACAGAAACTGGGAGACAGAGGCCCTGGCCTCCCTGAGGGTTACAGGTTAAAGGACTAGCTTTCAGGGCCTGAGCTGTCGGAGACACAGACATATAGATCTAGATCTATACAGCTCAAAGAGCTAGAGGAAGGTTTCACAACTAAAAGCGCTTTTTAGTAAATGCTCTAAGAAAGAGTGGTCAGGGTCTTCCTATGAGGTGTTGGTTAGAACAAACGATAAATTCTTTGGGCTGCCTTGAGCTGTCTCAGGCACTTAAAGTGAGTTCTGGGGTCATCCTGGGGATATGGCCTTGTGCTGTTAGAAATTATGTTAGTGTTTACGTCTTTTTTTTTCCTTTTAAAAAACTTTTATTTTTAAATTACAGTTGACATACAATATTAGTTCAGGTGTGCAACGTAGTGATTAGACATTTATACACCTTATGAAGTAATCCCCCCAATAAGTCTAGTACCCATTTGACACCGTACGTAGTTATTTCAATATTGTTGACTATATTCCCGAAGGTGTTTAAGTATTTATAGGCCAAGGTTGAGGCCTGGTAGAGACGTGGACTCAGAGGACCCTGGCTAGAGTTTGGTCCAGGGCAGAATCTTTGTCACAGTGCTGTCCTGGAGATGAGCACAGGCCACTGAGGTGGAGCACGTGTGCACATGTGTGTTTGTGTATTTGTGTGTGTCCATCCAGGGAGAAGGGGACAGCTTGACTTGGAAAACCAATCCCCATAAACTAAATTAGTCCAATCAGGAAAGGGAAAGGGGTGGGGAAGAGCAAGACAGGTCCAGGTTTAGAGGCCTAAAATGTATACAATTAGAGGGCCTTTCTTAAAAAAAAAAAAAAAGAATTACAAAATTAGGTAGAGGACCTTGGGGTGGGGTAGGAGGACATGCACGTAAGGAGACCCAGCGTTTAAGCTTCTCTTGCTTCACGGCAAAGCTGCCTCATGGGGAGGTGTGGTCCAGGTGTGTGAACAGCAAGAACGAGGCATGGTGGCCAGAGAGGGCCTGGCATGTTCAGGGAATTGAAATAATTCAACACTGGGTGTGCTGGGAGAATATGCAAAAGCGAGAGACATGTTTGGGAGTCCAATTACAGAAGGTCTTATGGGTCATCCTAAGAGCATGGGTTTTATTCTGTCAGCTGTGGGGGGGGGGGTCACCAGAGGATTTAAGGCAAGACACTGACTTGATCGCTTATTTATGTGATAGAACGATCAGGCTGGACGTGTGGAGGATGGGATGGAGCCCGAGAAGGCCGGTTGTAGACTCAGGTGGGACTCCTACTATTTGCCAGGGAGGCCCATGGAATCACACATACAGTGCATATGTGTATATGTGACTTCAAGACAGATGCCAGGGTTCAGAAAGAGCTAGCCTTCATCAAACACATTTCTACGTGGTTATTTCTCTAAGTCTAAAAACATGCTTACATACATTTTTGTGGAAAACAGGCCCAAGCTAGCCTAAGACTTGTTTTTGAGCAATCATGCATGGCACAGCATTTCCTTTGTAATAGAAAATTCTATATGTGGTTTATTTGTCTTTGGGTAGCATGCATATAAAAAGGGATGGCTTTAAAAATGATTTTTTTTTACAGTCAACTAAATTGTGCCACACCTTAATGTTTATTCTATTTCTGGATAAGACATTTTGATATAGAAACGTCCAGAAGAGTGTGGGCTCTGTGTCACACAGTCTGTAATTGTGCTAAGGACAGCATTGATGACTACAGGCAAGTTTTTCAAATGAGAAGTCCATCTACAGTTAGGCAGATCCTACTACTTTGTACCAGGAAGCTCTTAGACCCCTGGAAGTTACTACTCGATTTTTCCCCCTCGGGTTTGCCTTTTTCCTTTACTGACACATCCTTACTTTGCTAGAATAGATTCCATGCTAAGACCAAAACTGAGATAAAGCATCTGGGAAGCATCTTCATCAAATTATGTAACCATCTTTCTTTCCCGTCTCAAAGAAAGAGTGTTTGGAGTTGGTCTACCTTCCTCCTGGGCAGATGAAAGAAAAGCAACCCACGAAATACCTAAATTTTAATGTGGCAGTGGCAGCAGCTACACATAATTCACTTTGATGTTGTCTGAGAATTTATACATCGCCCCAGGTTGAGGGGGGATCTCAGATATCGACTGATGCTCTGACTCTCTGCTTTTTAAAGCAACAAATGAAATCTTACCACGGACATCTGATATATAAAAGAGACAGGGGTCTCAGCCTCCTCCCTCTGTGCCACACCTCAAATAGCTCTAGGAGTTTGCAACCACTAATTTGGTCCATGTCTTACATTTCCCACTTAGAAAGTTGATGCTCAGCAAGGTAGTGACCTGTTTCTGATCACGTTGGCCAGAAATAAATCTTAATTTCCCTTCTTATTTTTCGTTTTGGAGCTAATGCTTTTCCCACTACATCACACTGTTTTATTACAAAATGCTTGCAGGTGTGACATCAAAGTGTGCTCCTTACTGAGACTTTTGATCCCTAAGGATTTAAACCATCACATATTGTAGAAACACTTTCCTTGAATCTCTAAAACCGTGGAACACAGACTCATGTATATTTCCACAACATGCACCAGGCATCTTGCAGACACTTTTGCTCACGTGATTACTTAACACATAGGCACAATAAATCCATCCCATTTTACTGATGCAACAACTGACATTCTGAAACTCGCTGGGTCTTCCAAATGAGCGAGGCGATCCTTTGAGTTCCTCCCATAGTCCAGGAAGTTTAGATTTTCTGAGCGTTGGGCAGCTTTGAATCATTGGCCACCTCAAGAAAACATTTCTTCCTATTTCAGAGGCTTCCTTCACTTTCCTTTTTTTGGAGTTTGATTATTTAGAGTTTATCCAACCTAAATACGTCTTTCCTAACAAAGGGCAGAAATTATTTCATAAAGAAAGTAATTTTGTCCTTTATTCCTTCTGATGAGCCCACCCTCCTTCCTCCTCGCGACCCCGCTGGCAGAGTTCACAACAACTGGCGACATCCTTATGCAAACTGGCTCATTGAGAGACCAGGAATCAAACCAACTGGCTTCTTTGGAAGTTGGTTATTTCAACCATTTATAGAAAAATGGAGATTCCAAATGCTCAGTGACGGTTTTAAGTTCATCTGGGTCAGGGGCTTATTCATTCGTTCTGTCTTTGGACAAACACTGAAGAGCTTACTGTGCCCCAGAAGTATAAACTGATTATGAGGCGGTCCGTCCATGATGGCTGCATCTCAGGGCACTGCAGCTAAGAGCAACAGCTTCAGGTCCCCCAAGATGGATGATCAGGCAGGCCCCCCACAGAGCAAGCATTTGAGCTGGACTTCTGAGCAATGGCCTTCATTCTGGAGGCGGAGTTGGGAGGCAGCAGAGAAGTGGAAGCCACCCCGTGGGCCAGTCAGAGCCCTTCACCCCCTGCGCTGGGCGTAAGATGGTTGGACTCATGAGAAGAGCTGAATGCCAGGCTGTGAGTTTCTGACATTAGGAGTCACGGAAGGTGGTGAGCAGGGGAGTGACAACACTACTCCAGCAGCTGCCTGTGGGGTGGGGCGAGCTGGGGAGGAAGACCCGGAAGGCAGCGAGAACGAAAGGAAATGCTCCTGAAATCATGCAGAGATGACGTAGTGAAGGCAAGAACCAGGGGGCTGGCCGGGAGAAGGGGACAGGCTAGCCAGGGAAGGTATTGCTGAGAAAACAAAAGCTGGAGAAGCGCTAGACATGGGGGTGAGGGCTTTGGGCGTGTCAAAGGCGATCCTGATATTTTGAAATGACAGTGATGCCCTGGACTGAACTGAGGGACAGATAACAGTGGCCTGTTTTTGGTATGAAGGTTCGGAGTTTAATTTCAAATGTGTTGACTAAAAGACTTAGTCTCGTGTTTCTCGTGCACCACCCTTGGAGTGCAGAAGAAAGTGATGGTTAAAGTAGAAGCAATTCCCCTAGAGACTCTCTGGAGAAAGGATATTATATTATCAGGGCTCAGAAGGCCCAAGTGCCTTTTGAAATCAGGCATTGCCTGATTTGGATCCCCATATCCTCCTTCCTTCTTTTTTAAAAGTAACTGAAGTTTAAAGGTGAAAATGACTTTAACAGGAACCAATCCGCTCCTGCTATTATCCATAGCTGGGTGGCGATTGATCTGCTTGGGGCTATGAATGTCCGTCTCATGCTTGCAAGTCCTTGGGCTCGTCTGGAGTTACCTTCATCAGTTTGTCCACACAGAGCAGGATGAGGGTGAGAAACCAAAGACTCCAGCCAACAGCGGCCATGATCCAGCCGTATTCATCCACTCCAATGTGGCAACACCGGGCTGCCTGTGGGCAGAAGTCCACATCTGGTGGGGAAGAGAGAGCAAGTGTGCCAGGGGGCATCACACCAGCCCTGCCCAGCTCCTGCTCGAATATTCATAACAAGAAACATAATACGACAACTCACCTGTACGAAAGCGGACCATGCACTAAGCTAAATGCTCTGCACACGTTACCTTATTTATGCCTCATAAAGTGATACGTACAGTTGTTATTACTCCCCTTTCACATGAAGAAACTGAGGCTGTAACTTGCCCAAGGTCACAAGATGGCAGAACTAGAACTCAAACCCAAGTCTGTAGGACTCCAAAGCCATGTTCTGAACCTCTACGTATAATTACCTATTTACTGTCCTTTGTCAATGCCCAGAAGTGAATACATTTGGTCCAGGAGGGTGGACTAAAGGAAGCCAGAATTAGAATAAAGCAAAACGTTCTATTACTTAGACATGTGTAACAGTGGTTGCTTTATAAAATACTGACCTCCTTGTGGCTGGAAGTATTCAAGTAGAGGATGAACAGAAATATGCAAAGGGTACAAAATGAAACTCCTGCCTTGGGCAGACATGGGACTCGCTGGTTTTTATGGTCTTCCTGCTGCCCAACTTCCACAAGCTTTTGAACTCTGCATCTTTGGCTGCTGTCCTGGGGCTGGGTCATTAAAACCACCTGGACCAAAGATGGCGAGCCTAGATGGGGGCCAAGGCCAAGATAGCTTTTTAGATGTACTCTGTCAAGAGTTCTGGGGGCTGTGAACAAAGCCAACGAGTGCACAGGAAGGCCAGCCTGGCACTCAGCCACTGGACATCAATGAACAGAAAGCTGGGAGCTTGTTTCTCCCCAGACCCGGGCCAGCTCCCTCCGTAACCCCAGGGGTTAGGGCAGGTGGCAGACACTTACTGAGGCACTGCTCCAGGGTCTCAGGGTTTGGGTGATGGGTGGTCAAGGTTGAGTTGCTGTCGCTGCTTGCTTCTGGAAATAAAGTCAGAAGATAGTTGGAGGCCGTAGGAAAAGCCATTCCCAGGCATAGAGTTTGAAATCTTTTTTTTGTAAATCAATAGTGAATATTAATGACAGTTACAGAAGTTCCAGTCTAGGCTTCATTTAACAGAGCCAACCGCCTGTTATGGACTGAATCATGTCCCCCCGAATTCATATGCTGAAGTCTTAACTCCAGTAGTGACAGTATTTGGAGATAGGCCCTTTAAAGGGGTCATTATAAGGTGAAATGGGGTTGAGTGTGGGGGCCATAATCCAGTATGACTGGTGTCCTTGTAAGCAGAAGAGACAGCAGGTAGAGGAGAGCATGTGAGGATGCAGTGTAAAGGTTGCCATCTGCAAGCCAAGGAGAGAGGCCTCAGGAGATACCAGCCCTGCCTATACCTGGAGCCTCGAGAACCATGAGAAAATAGATTTCTGTTGTTAAAGCCACTTGGTCTGTGGTATTTTGTTATGGCAGCCCTAGCAAACTAATACAGTTCCCTTTTTCTATTGCTGTCTGTTTTCATTCAGAGATGCTTTCTCTCTGTTTCTCATTGTCGTCAGTGCCTAAGGGCCTGCTGTATACAGCTTTCTAAATGCTCTATTTTTGCTGCTTTCTGTGCAGATGGATACATACAAGATGGTTTTTTCCAGTATATATTCACACAAATCTGGAATGTTTTTCATAACTCTCTTTTAATTCCTTTCAAATCCTTGAACAAATAGCCCTTGAAATCTGACCTTGATTCTTGATTTCTGACAATAATGGTATTTTACTCAGCAAGATGGTTATCAAAAATAGTAAACACCCTACAGGCTGCTAGAATATGCAGTGCTTAGAATTGTCCCTTAATTAACCAGCAGGGAGCTCAATGATACAAGGAACTTCCGTGGGAATTGTTAAAAGTTCTGAGTTTTGGAGGTGAGGTGGGGTTATGGATATAAAAATCTCCAAGGAAGAAAAGCTATTGCCCATGCTCCCTCTCATAACAGAATAAGAAGAGAGATGTTCTCGATCCCCTCTCTCCCGTATGTCAGCCACGGGTGGCTATTTAAATTGATTAAAACTAAATTGGAAACACAGCACAGATGTGGAATATTTCCATCATCAAAAAAAATTTAAGGGCCGGCCGTGTGGCCTATTGGTTAAGAGTTGGCTTAGGAGTGTTGGCTCTGAGCAGCAGGGCAGCAGTTCAGATCCCACATGGGCCAGTGACGCTGCGCCCTCTACAGCTAAGATGGTGAACAACCACTAGACCTGGAGATGGGCTGCCGTGAGTTGCCGGCAATGGTGTAGGCTGCAGCGGGCCTGCAGTGGGCTGCCATGAGCTACCATGAATGGCTGGCAGCCAGTGTGAGTGGCCAGCAGCCAGCGTGAGCTGCTGTGTACCACTGTGAGCGTCATTCCAATGGCGGGCGAGCGACTGCCTCACCCGGGAATACCAACATGGGCCAGTGAAGCAACGTTCTCTACAACTAGATTGAAGAACAAAAGGACAGCAACTTATTTGTTCCCCTTCCCCGATTCCCCAACTCTGTTTCCCTTCCCCAATTCTCCAATAAAATCTTAAAAAAAAAAATTTTTTTTTTAAAATAATTTAGTACTAACCAAGGTAGTTCAAGACCGAGAGACCAATTTTAATGACTCTGAAAATGATGTAGCTCAGTCTGCTTCTTGGGAATGCAAAAAAAAAAATGTTTTGGAAACTCTTAAGGCCCCACTGACTCTAGGTCAGCATGTCCTTCAAAGGAGCTTGTTGTCACGTAGCAGGACAAGCTAGGAAGAAACTCCTTGAATAGCCAAAGCCTTGAATTTGCTGCTCAGACTAATTTCATGCCACCCACCCCCTAGCCGCTCTAATGTACTGCCTAAAGTAATTACCTTGATGCAATCTGATTGTTACTGTAAATTATTTACAGCCAAATGGCTTAGAGCTTGGTCTTTATTTGTTTTGGGGAAATTGATTTCTCAACATTTTAATGTCCCTTGTAACCCAAATAACTTCCTTGGCCCTGACTTTCACCTCCCTTCTACCCTAGAATGGAGGTAAGTGGTTCCTGTCTAGAACAAGAGAGTGGAAAAAAGCCTAGTAAATTGGATACTAGTATTAGGTAAAAAATTGTTCAGTATCAGCAATTTTGTATGGTTCTAACAGAATAGCCTAGTTATAAGTTGCTATTACCCTCCTCCCTTAGCAGCAGTGCCAGCCAGCGAATGGTCCCACTTGGAGTCACTTCCAAAGTAGAGGCTGCTGGGAAGGTCCGATTATTCAGTGCAGTTCAATTTGTCAAGGTCTTTTGAAGCTCGATGCTAAACAAGGCACCATGAGCGTCAACAGAAAGAAATAAAACACTCTTTCTTGAGGAGGAGTTGTACTGGACAATAAAATGAACATGCTGACATTCACTCAGTGTTTACTCTGAGCTGGTTTATTATAAAATGTATTTACCTGTAGTCATTCATTTCATCTTGATGACAACCCTACATTGTGTCAGCACTAGGATTATCCCCGTGTTGTAAATGAGGCAACTGGGGCACAGAGAGGGTAAGTAATGTGTCCAAGGCCACACAGCTAGTAAGTTGTGCAAGCCATAGTGGAGTTGAGGCTCACTGGGTTTGAGAGCTCACACTGTCTGACCCTCTACAGGAGAGACTGGAGGGAGGGAGGGAGGGAGAGAGAGAGAGAGAGAGAGAGAGAGAGAGAGAGAGAGACAGAGAGAGAGAGACAGAGAGAGAGACAGAGACAAAGCCAGCCGGAGGCAAAAGCCAGGAGCACGGGGATGTACCCAAGGTCTCTGCATGAAGTGCATGAACAGACCAGCCTGGGAAGGCAGGGCAGGATAGCCTCTACCCCTCGAGCCTCCACAGGGCTCACGGGAGAAGGGTACACGGTATATGGCAGCTTTCATGAGTTAAGGTTTTGTGAAATTTGCAAAGAAAGCACAAGGTCAAGGGAGGGACAGAGGACTTGAGGTGAGGGGAAGGGGTGCAAAGGCAGCATTGCAAAGCACCGCAGCCCGGGGCACCGAAAAGGAGCCCCTGGGAAAGGGGCTCCAAAAAGCGTCATTTTAGGCTGATTTCGTCCCCTGGTGGGAGAGACTGTGTACGTTGCTTTCTCGTCTTTCTCTGTGACAAAGGTCAGCAGAGGCGGCTGCTCTCGTCCTAGCTGAGGACGGAGTCAACTTTGAACACCCCCACCCCACCGCCCCCTGCCTAATCCTTCAGATGACAAAGGACTGTTTCCTCTTTCTTTCTGCAGGACCAACCCTTGCCAAGGAATCCTCCTCCTTTTTTCCTCCCTCCCTCCCGCCCCCTTCCCAGGGTGGCCAGGAATAAAGCTCGCAGTTCTACCTGCCCAGCGAGCCGAGTGGAAGGAGGCGAAGACCAGGCTGAGGACCAGGGCGGCGCGGGCCGCAGAGATGAGGTGCCTCATGCTGGAGAGAGAGGCGTCTGATGTGTGCTGAGTGATGGGGGCCATGAGTCCTGTGTGGGTCCTGTCCTGCAGGAGCTTGAAAGCCACGACCGTCAGAGGTGAATTTCTACTCTGTGTTTTGGGGACAAGAGAAGGGGTGGAGCAAGGGAAAATTCTCCTGTCACACCTTGCTGTTGCCTCTTTAGAAGAGATGCCAAACTATGTGGCTGCAAGGAGGAAGGGAGGGGCAATTCATGCAGTTTTTCCTTGAGCTCCTGGTTTGCCCGTCCTGATTAAAAAAAGGAAGAAAAGAGGAGAGGAGATGTGTGCCCTGCTTGTGCCTGGAGCGAGTTTGCACTCCAGGCACTTACTATGTGCATTATGTGAAAGTCTGGGAAGACATGCCCTTCAAGGGCTTTAACTACCAACGTGCGTTCAAACACAGAGCGCTGTTTCAGGAATGACTTGGGAAGGACAAAGCACCTTAGTTTGCAGCAGCAAAAAGGCCACATCTGTGGATGGGGTACTCCATGATGAAGGTGGCATCTGAGTTGGGTCTTAAAGGATGGATATAGTTTCGACAGCAAAGAGAAGAGGGCATTATAGGCAGAAGGGACAGGTGAGCGATGGCCCAGAGGGAAGAGGTGCTCAGAAGGCCACCGTGCCCGCAGCGCAGGTGAGCGTAGGGGACCTGAGGAGGAGGAGGTCGCGAGGTAAATGGAGAGCCGTGGTACTGAGCGTCTGGTGCCTCCGGCCCCGCGGGGAGTTTGAAGCAGTCAGGAGGCAAACGGGAGGCTTTGTGAAGATTGTGAACTGGATTGTAACGTGATTGGAGCTCTGTGTTCAGTCTAAAACATTTATTAAATACCCACCATGGGTATGAAAGGCCTCATCTGAGGCATTTGAAACTCAGAAATGGCTAAGACATGATTCCTACTTGCCCTACTGTGTCCAGGGAGTGAGACCAAGCAGTGAGACCATGCAATATGGTAAAACCTCCAATATGCCAATTTCCCCCAGTTTGGGGCTGTTAAAAAGGGAGGGGTTCCATCTGCCTGAGAGGTGCTGCAGAAGGATTCACAGAAGTGCCATTTAGACCGGGCATGCTAGAAGAGGCACTTTTTTCCTAATTTGCCCAAAGGTACAAACCAGTGGTGGCTTTATGTTCTTGGGTTTAGGGGTTGGGGGCTGAAGTGCTTTCAGGAGGCTAGTCTTCAGGCAGTGTACAAAAATCCAGTTCAGGCCTCCCACTTGGTTGAACATTCAACACTTCAGTGAGTAGGGCTGTGTGCTGGGCCCTTGGAATCGGGGTGCTGAGGTGGGTGAGGCAACACAGCCCCTGTCCTCCAGGAGCTCAGGGTCCAGTGAGGGAGAGGGGCACACAATGAAATCAGGGTGGTCAGGGGGTCTCTACAGAGAAGGGGAAACTCACCGAGGGGGCTTAGGGACTAGGGGATTCAGGGAACATTTCACAATGGAGATGGCATTTCGACCTGAAATGTGAAAGATGCATGCTGGACCACTAGGCTCAGGAGACGGAAGCAGTACATGTAAGGGCCCGAGGCCTGAGCATGTCACCCTGCTCTGGGAAGTAATTACTGTCCTTGGAGCATGGGTTTGGTCTCGGTGTGTCTAGTTAGACTAAGAACAGATTGCAACGGTCCTGCATGCTAGACAAAGGAAACGGGGCCCTGTCTTACGACTGGGGCGCCCTGTAGGGAACTTGTGGACACCGTTATTATATTATATTATATTATATTATATTATATTATATTATAGTATAGTATAGTATAGTATAGTATAGTATATTATTTATAGTATATTATATATTATATTAATTATAGAGGAAGGGAGCACAGGTCTGTGGAGGCCAGGCCTGAATTCAGAGAGATCATCTAAGAAGCTGTTGCAAAAATCCCAGCCAGCCATCACAAGAACCCTGACATAAGAGGTTGGGCTGAGACTAGAGAAGAGGGGAACAGAATCAGAAGGCACTTAGGAGGCCACGTCCACAGAAGGGATCCAGGAGAAACGCACGGTTTCCAGCTGGGGGGAGTGGGTGACCATGAGGCCAGCCTGGGGTGGAATTCCAGCCCTGCCTCTGATTGTCTGAGCGGCCCCAGCTAGTTACTTTAGTTACTTTATACATCCAAGCCTCAGGTTCTTTATCTGAAAAATAATGGACAGTAGCCCATGTCTCAGGAGTTGTCAGCCATGTAAAGTGCTAGCTGATAGTAAGTACTCAGTAAATGTTATTTACCACTTTAATAGAAAGGCCATCATAAATAGAAAATATGGGGGAGTAACACTATTTAAGTATTGGTTTATTTATATCCTGTCTTGGTCCAAAAAGAGTTTAAGGAAGCATACACACAATTAATGAAGCTAGGTAAAATACATTTAACATAAAAGAAATGAGGCAAAGAAAAGGTTAGGGTAGGAAATATAAGATGCATCCATGAGCGAGTTTAGGGCCCAAAATGGCATGCTTGTTTTCAAAGCTTCCTGGTAGCCATGTAGAGAGGGTAACACGATCACGTCCATGATTTATGGGCTCACAAGACAAAAACAACAAGAGAAGCACAGTTCTTGATACCAAAGCCAGAGAGGAATTTTCCCCTCGAGTCCGCACAGAGATGACATCGCTTAATAGGACAAACATGGCTCTTGACATTTTCCTCACAGTAAACCTCTTACATAGACGAGGGCTGATTTATCCAATAGGCTCTAGAGATAGCAGCAGTGCGCTTATGAGATTTTCAAGGGCCTCTAAAATGTTTGAGACCTGAAAAAAAATCTCATATCCAAAAATATGAACAGCTGTAACAAAAACTGTGCAATCAAAAGAAAGGATTATTTCAAAAGCGATATTACCCAAGTCACTTCAACAGAAAGAATTTAAGGTAGGCTGCTGGGTGCATGTTTGATGTGAGCAGAGCGTGTCCCTACACGGTGATGAGAGCCTGGGACACACAAAGATGTGAAAAGGCCCTGTGTCGGGTCGTTGTGATGGTGGTTTGAGTCACATCCATCCATCGAAGCTGACAGATCATATCAAATCATACCACTGAAGGAAATTCTGGGTGCCCTGGATGTGGAGGGCAAGGATACTAATCTGTCCCCTCGCTCCTCTTTTTAACACATAGTTATTTGATTTGGGCCTGTTTTAGATTTGGTGTTTGCAAGTCATTAAAAGATCAACATTCTCTTCACAGATCAAATAATTTTATTATTCTCAAATAGGATGGACTTCACTGGTCCCTGATAACTCATGAATTCCCAAAGGAAAAGCTACATGGCAACTATTTTATAAGTGTCACTATTTTTAGCTTTTTTTTTTTTTTAACAGGTCTATAATTAATAACTCCATGCAGCTGATTACCTCACTCAGGAACCCAGGAACTCTCGCATACATTTTACATCAGGTTTGCTTTGGAAGGTGTACCAGGAAGTTCCCTTGCTGGGTATTCTGAGGGAACTTTCTCAAGATTTGTTTTTTTTTTAATAAGTGGTTGAGATTAGTGTTAGGTTACACATATTTTTTTGAAACGTGCAGGCTAAAATGTGCAGGCAAAAAAGTGGCCAGACTCCATGGTGGTGGTTGGGGTTGGCCAAGAGCAAGGTGTTCTAGAACCTTCTCTGCCTCCAATTGTATCTAGGTTCTGCCTGTTATGATTTCATGTGAACAAGAAGAGGAGGTGGCAGAGTGTTTCCTGTGCTAAAAGATTGAAAGTTAACATTCTGTAGACTGAAATGACCTCTGTCTATGGGAAGGATATTTTAGGTTGAGGAAACTTCCCTTGGGATTCCCTTGGGATCATATTGTGGGGAGACACCACTGGTCTTGAACGTGGGGCTTGCATTTCCAGTTCATCCACTCTGAGTTCAGTAGATCAGGAGTGCTAATTTTTCCTGAGCTGTTTTTTTGTTTTTTGTGTTTTTTTTTTTAATTTGGTCTACTTATTCTGTTGAATACTGAGACAGATGATTGTGGATTTTTCTCTTTTCCTTGTGGTTTTGTCTATTTTGCCTTCAATATTTGAGGCTGTAATTAGGCCTCATTCAAATACAGAATTATGACACCTTCCTGGTGAATTGAACCTTCTTTAAAAAATCATTTTGTAGTATTCCTTAATGATATTGATTTATAATAAGATTATAAATATATATTAGGTCTTTGCTGATTAGACAGTTGGAATTTTCAGTCCCATTCCCTGAACAACCAGCCCAGGGAGGGGAGAGGGACTGGAGGTTGGATCAATCACCAATGGCCAATGATTTAATCAGTCATGCCTATGTAACGAGGCCTCCATAAAAACCCAACAGGAAGGAGTGGTTCAGAGAGCTTCTGGGTTGGTGAACATGTAGAGATATTGGGAAAGTGCCACTTTGAGAAGGCATGGACTCTCTGTGCCCCTTCCCCATACCTTGCCCTATGAATCTCTTTCCATGTGGCTGTTCCTGAGTTATTTCCTTTTATAATAAACTGGTGATCTAGGGAGTAGATTGGGTTCCTGAGTTCTGTGAGCCATTCTAGCAAATTAATAAAACCCAAGGAGAGGGGGTCACGAGAATGTCTGATTTACAGCTGGCCAGTCAGAAGCACAGATAACAACCTGGACCTGTGCTTGGCATCCTGAGTTGGAGGGGGTTGTTGGAACGTCCAGTTTATAGGCGATTGGTCAGAAGCACAGGTAACAACCTGGGCTTGGGACTGGCATCTGAAGTGGAGGGCAGTCTTGTGGGACTGAGCCCTTTACCTGTGGAATCTGATTTTATCTCTGGGTAGATAGCAGCAGAATTTTGTTGAATTCTCGGACACACTACTAGCATCTGAGAATTGCTTGTTAGTGTGAGGAACCCTCCCCCCTTCCACCCTCCCTCCACCCCCCCCCACACACATATACACACACATGTTAGAATTGGGTCCAGGAATCCTGTTCACCCTGTTTATCTCTATGAATGCTTTTTGCCATTAAGTTTACTTTGTTTGATATTACTATAGCTATATTACTTTTCTTTCGCTTAGTTTTGCATGCTCTATTTTTTCCCATCATTTCTTCCAACTTTTCTAGATCCTTATTATGTTTTAGATGTGTACCTTATTAAAAAAAATAGT